ACTCATAACCCGGACACTTTTGATGCTAAGTTTTAGGTATCTATTAATCATAAGTATAATAATCGGTAGGTACCTATAACATAACGTATAGGTATATTAATCTAGTTTTAGGTACAATCAGTGGCGCTCGGAGATTTTTCAATAGCCAGTGCAAATTATAATATTTGTGAACAGTCACCCACGCCAGTTGTGTATTCTCATAGAAAATCCATAATCAATACTGCCGTAACATCACGTGTATTCCGTTTTTTAGTCTGCACCACGATAAGTAAAGCTCGAACTTATACCAAATATTCCTTAAAGCGCTAGCGTTCATGCCAAATAGTGAGAACAGGGCTGACTCAGAAAATCATTTATAAGACCTTTCCGGTCGGTATCCTGTATATCTCAATTCGTGGTCTGCACTATACCTTACTACCGTAGGTACAACAGAGCCCGCCGACAAAACACCAGCGTACCTTATCGTTACGATACAATTATATAGGCAATCTATTATAAGCTATACGAAAGTATAATATTATAGGTACGGTTTACCTATACGATTAATCAAATAAACAACATTTAGGTATCGTATGGATATTAATATTATTATTTTTAATTTAATTTTTGTATAGTTGATACCAATCTATTTTCCTATAAACAGTAGCTATTTATAAACCATTCGTACGATATAAAATATCACACGCAAGGCACAGGGTATAGAAATTACAGTATGCTCTCGAAAAAAAAATTGACGGGCATACCACTGAAAATAATACAAATTGTTTATTTGGTTGTTTTTAGAATTGTTGCAATTTTTCGGCTATAGAAACGTTTTTCTTTACTTAGTCCTTGAACAGAAATATACACCATCCAGTAGCGGTTGGGTTACATACAGTCACAAATCGTAAACAAAAAAAATATTATAATAAAAAAACAATTTATTTCTATCCGATAGTGGTGGGCAGCTGATAATCTATTCGGCTCTGATAATTAATGTCTTTCAATATTTATTTCTGATGTACCTGTACGAAGTTTATGAATATAATATTATTGAATTATTTCGGATTTCATTTGCAAATATTATAAATTACAATAATATATTGGTTATGTGTATAACAATGACGTAACTGGGGGAAGGGCTAAGGCCCCCTCCCCCGTATTGTCCGTGTTAAATACAAACAAATATTACAAACTATTCGCCATTGATAAACTATAACTTTTTCTCATAAAGTAATAATCATAGCACATTTGGACTATTCATACAACCGAGTACAAATAATTATACTGCAACATTATTTTTTTAATTCACCCCTCTCATTCCTCCGCAGTAAAGTCCCAGGTACGCCGCTGGAAGATTATAATTGCACGTTATAATAATTTTGTTATTGTCTGGGCTTCGAACAACTTTTATTCGCCGCACCGGGAACCTGTTATCGTTTCGAGTGTTGACCCAGGCGCAATACTGAAATACAATGTCCAACATTCGTAGGACCGGTTTCAAACGAACCGAAATAGAGGTGGAACTTGGAAATAATTACTGTTGAACATAATAATATGGATGATAAATGTATGAAATTAGTTGTGGGTACCGAACTACGTACCTGCCAGTTACCTATTATTAGTGTCTTGTATCGCGCACTATCCGTAGGTTAAATTATGGGTAAACAATTTTAATTTAGTTTGTTATACGTAAAAAAAAAAAATAAATACATATATATATATATATTTGTATACACTTTATTTACACCAGCAGTAATTGATAAAACGGACCCGCGCTTATCATTATTTTGTTATCAACATAAAAGTCAATCGGCAGAAATTATCAGGTACCTATACACACACAACGCACATTTAATAAAATATTTATTTATAATTATTTTTATACTGTACCGGTAATTTGTTAAAATACACGTAAGGTATCAGTAGCGCCGCCGAAACCAGCAGTCAAGTGTAGAGGGTCGGTTATCGCTCTTTTAACGAACGGGACCACCGCCCGGTGGTGGTTCATGATGGGTACCCGAACCGTATTTATTTTTATCGAAATGGTACACATGGAATATTAATTAAGAGTGTTGTGTGGGAGTTTTAAACGTGGGCGGCGGTCGGGGTTGGACCGGGGCACCGGCGCATGCCCCGGTGGGCAGTTGATATTTTGGTTAAATGAGGCCATTTATGTTTTTTTTGTTTTTAACTTAATGCGTCTATCTTATATAATATAAATAAGGAATATCGCACTGTAACGTGACGTCAACGATGGTGTATTATGCTTCGACACGGAATTCGATAATTCGTACTTCGTAGTTGGTAGTTGGAACGTAATAACGTCGTGATAAAATATTTATAAATAGAAAAACTGTAAAAAAATGTGTAAAACAAAAGATGGGTAAATCATAATGGTACCGTTAGTTTTATCGTGTTAGTTCAAACAACATTAACCAAAAGAAAACGTTGGTATGAGTAGACACGGACGTGGATAATGATAATATCAAAACTGTTTTTTGATTATAATAATTTTTAGTTCTATCCACTTTAGAGTCCAAATCAATATTATTACTGGTAAGTAATTATTTTAGTAAAAATTTATATGTTCTAACTCAATTAAAATTAAACGTTTAAACATAATATTGCATCAAATTGTTTTTGTAAAATTCATCTTAATAGGTAGGTTATTATATCAATGTCTTGCATTTGTTTATGCATAAAGAAGCGAAGTCGAGTTAATGTATAACATTGCATTTGAAAGTATTCAAATGGACCTATGTATATATTGTTTTTTGAGTTACCATTTTCAGTTAACAAACATTTGATTGGGTACTTAAAAAGTTTCATCGAGACCGCTTGAAATTATTTTGCTCGGGCCGTGTTATACAGCCAGTCCAACCTTGGTGGTGGTCTGTATAACTTTTTATCTGCCTCCATTTTCTTAAAACATGGTTCGGCGCTACTGCGATAATATGTTGCGTTCGTACATTTATACGAAATAACATTGGATACGAATTATTAAACTGTTATTTGATACATTTTATTTAAGTGACTGTACATTTTTTTTAAGTAGGATAAAGGAGGTAAATATGTCTTCTGTCTTTCCGATATCCTTGTTACACGGGATCCGGGCGTCCACGAACTCGGTTGAAGAACTAAAAAATAGATTGATGTAAAATTGGTAGACATGTAATTTAATGTATCCGATTTTTAAACAACAATGCCGATATTATATTTATATTTAGATAAGTAGGCATAGTCAATAAGGTGCCACTTAAAATACATCTTTTGGGGGATATTTTAAACGTATGGAAGACGTTTAAAAACATATGGACATACTTCGCATGACGGGTGGGCTGCGGCTGCTGTTGTAGATGAGAAGTTTTGAAAGTCAAGGGAAATTAAATGTATATCTATACGCTAACGAAAAACGATTCTGAGCAGAGTTCGGTTATACATATTTTAAAAGACCGTAATATTTACGATTTTTGTCAAAATTTGCATTCAAATTCTCTCAATTTTTTTTTGTTTACCGTTAAGCATAACTTATAATGAATCTTCTTCTTAATTTTCAAGAAATGTTCAATTTTGTTATATTTTGCATTTCTGTTTGGTCTAACAATTTTATCCACACAGTAGGTACCTGCCCAATAAATATTACGTAAAAGAAACTAGCAAATTTAAAATGTCTATACATAGCTCGGATATGGCTCAAATGTATTGAACATTTTACCACATCTATATAAAAGGCAAATATAAAGTTTCTGTCCAAACTTCAAATATCACATTTTCGACTAAGAAAAAAAGCAAAATAGAAAAATATAAAACCATTTTTTTCGTAAACTTTTCTGTTTTTCCTACGTTTTTTTCCCGGTTTTCACCAATTATTTTTAAAACTGTTTAAAAATCAAAAAATTATCTTCTTAAAGTATCTACCACCTCAGTCAAATTTTATTTCAGAAAAGGTATATTACACTTAAAATCAGAGCAAAATTTCTGGTAGTAAATTTGTTCGCAGAAAAAAAATAATGAAAAAATAAACATCATTGTACAATCAATACATTCCTCGAACCGCTCAGGATTTAAAACAATGTTTGAGCATCTTGTTAATTTGTTCTACACGATGTTTAACGACATCGGACGAATCGTAAGATCAATACATTAAGTTTTAGAGGTCACTACTAGCTGATGAAAAGAACATAAAAAAGGACTTGCCAGAGCCGTAGCACGCTACTATGGCTTGACAAAACTGGCTCAGATTAAGAGCGTTTCTCTGAAATCGACGAAAAATCCAGAATTCATACATAATAGAAGTACAAAATTTTAACGAAAAGGAATAGACGGAGACTAATAAGAGCGGACACATTTTTGTGTGGCGTGCAGATGCGTTGAAAAGTATTGTTACGGCTCTGACTTTTACAGGGGTACTTTTATCAGCTGGTTGTGACATTCAAAACTCAAAACAAAATTAATCAAAACCGTTCTATTTTGTTAGGTAAACGTTTGGTACGCATTTCGAAGTTGACATGGAGAAATTAATTTATGTTATTTGTCTGATATTCGTGCTTCGGACTATATCGTCACAAATCAATACTAGTGAGTGTTTTATTATTATTTGTTTAATACGGGCGTGCTATTGCGTTTATACTACTTATTTTAGGTGCACATTTCTATATTAGCTAATAGATTATTATAATCAGAAAACTATACTGATGTGTAGAGTTAGCCATTACTCATTATTAAAGGGTATCGAAAATTTAAAATACATATTATAGAATTTTGTTGGGGACACGGAATAACGGTTAACTAGAATAGGTATGGGAGTAGAAACAGGGAGACACGTTGTTATTTTTATTCCCCCGCTCCCGTTAAATACTGTGCATGTTGCCTATGCAAAGCAGTGTTAGACAGTTAGTTATTTATACAAATATTAATTTTTTTAATTGTTATTGATAGGATGTACAACTCCGAATCAGCTCGACGGCATTTGTATCAATATTCAACGTTGTATATTGTTAGATACGATGTTTAAAGATCCTAATAGAAACGATACTGCTAAAAACCTTCTTTCAAAATCGTTTTGTGGACACGAAGGCACTTATCCCAAAGTATGTTGCCCAACGTCATCCGATTATGAAACGGTTTGGTCGTCTAAATTACCCTCTCGAAAAAAATGTGGAATACCTAGTACTACCAAAGTTAAAATCGTCGGAGGAACACCGTCGGAATTGGGTAAGAATGACAAAGAGGTTCTTACATTAAAAGTGAAAAAAATAATGCGGTTTTTAGTACTTTTTACTAATTACTAAGGTACAATTAAGTTAAATTAAGATTACTTATTATTATTGAAGCCATCCATTTGTTTAGGTGCTTGGCCCTGGGTAGCAGCTTTAGGATACAAATACATTTATAAGCCAAACAATGATCATGAATTTTTATGTGGTGGAGCTTTGATATCGGATAGATATGTAGTAACAGCTGCTCATTGTACGATCGGCTCTGCTCTTAAGAATAAAATATTGTAAGTTGACAATTATTAATTATTCTCATTTTTTAACTGTTTCTGTTCGTTAAATCATTGCATGATATGGTGGTTAATAAAATAATATAAATTGTAATTGCATACTTAAAAAAAAAAAAAAAAAACATTATTCAATCATAAATTGTTTTTATCTTCTAATAGCTCATTTCTAATTTTGTTCAGGGATATCGTGCGTTTAGGTGACTTAGATTTAGATCCTACCAAGAACGATGAAGCCACGCCCATTAATTATGCAGTTACACGTATTTTAAGACATACAGAATATAATGCTTCAAATTTCACTAACGACATTGCGTTATTAAAATTAAACAGCAGTGTTGCTTTTACCGGTAACTTTTTTAATATTTTTATATGTATAGTTTTTAAAATTGTTTACATTTTACTAAACTGAAACAATATCTATACATCTGTGCTCGATAGTTGAAACGTTTATATTATTTGTTGAAATTCGTCAGCGACCATTACACTTATCATTCTGTGAAGTAAAAAAAAAAAAAAAATAATAATAATTAATAATATTGTAGATTAATCATTTAATTATTAAAAATAATTGTAAAACGTAGTGTTAACTGCACATTACCGAAGAAAAAAACAAGCCTTACAACATCATTAAATGTAGTATACAGAGTAATTCACATCAACTTTTAAACAACCTTGATATCTTCAACAAATTCAAACTTTACATTATAATACAATTAATGGTAGGTAGATATAAATGTATAATAAACAAATTTTACCTAGATAAATTTTTAATTCATAAACAAATTTTTCAGACATATATAATTTATATTTTAATAATATGAGGGGAGAGGATTTAATGTACAAACGGATACTAATTTTTTGGTCTATTTATAAGATTGAGGTTTAATTTTTAAAACCATACAATAAGAACAATAACTAAAGAGTCGATTTTTAGGTTTCCAAAAATGTAAAAATCTGGTTCTAATATGAAATGATTAAGTATAGTTTCAAAAAATGCTTAAAACAGAAAATCTTTAAAATTCTCAAAATTTCCAATATAATATGCCCTGTAGTATAAAAAACAATTTTTTTCAACGAATTATGGAATCAGCCAACAGTGAACAGCATCATAAAGCCAATACATTAATGTACAACCTTAAAATCGTAAAATTTTCGAAAGATGACATTGTATATGCGTACTTAAATAATTTGTTCGTGTGATTAGTGTCAGATGTATACGTTTTTATTTAATCTTTATAATACTTGTAAATGTGTGTTATTTATTTTATAGAATTGATTAAACCTATATGTTTGCCAGTTATGTCCAAGATGAGACAAAATATGTTTGTTAAATATCAACTATATGTTGCAGGTTGGGGAACTCAAGGATTTCGTAAGTACTTTATGAGTGCTCAGAAATTATAAAATATTATAAAAATACTTTACAATATCATAATATTATAAATATTATACTAGTATACTATTATATTGCATTTAACAAGTATTTTTCAGTATAAAAAAAGAAAAATATTTATGATAATGTCCTAGGCAATTGCGTGTAAGTTACATAAAGTTTTTCCACTCAATTAATAATACATTGAATATTTCATGAAATCTATGTTTGAGAATTATTTCATAAAGTATATTTTGTTCTCCCATGTTTTTTTTCTAATTGTTTGTGGTTGGCCACCATGATCCTCTCGAATCTATTTCCCTACAGAGAGTTTTTTTAATGTATATGTCAAAAATGATCATAACCATTGAACCAATGTGATAATACCTACTTGTTTAAAGCGCCAGCTAATACCCGTGACTTAGTCCACGTATAGAATTTCTTTATACTTTCTCTATATACGGGTCGCACGAAACGTAAGTAGGTTATTGATGTAGACAAGTTGTGAATATATACTTCTAGCAGTCAAAAACGGTAACAGATATTTAAACTTATCTTATTACTTACAAGTTAACTTAAAAATACGATGTCATTTATGATTTTCTCTCGAAATTATACTTGATGATGAGAGCATCATTATACACACTACGAATATTTCTCATATCGCTCTCAATCATGTTTAACCATGTTCTTATCGGTCTTCCCTCTTTCCGTCTTATTTGTTTTTGTAAAACTACTCTTACAGCCATTAATTCAGTGGATCATAGTTTTAACCTTTCGACATTAGCCCATTATATCAAACTTTTTACTTATAATTTCAACCTTCGTGGGGTACCTATTATATTATTATAAGAAAATGTATGATAATAATTTCATACAATATATAGCACGGTAATTATCATTTTATAAATATTTAGGACAATTATTTTGTATTAATTAGATGTTTTGTGCCAGGAATAAAAATACTTTAAGATATTAATATAATGTACATATTTTATAATGTGGCCCTTATTTTAAACATATTTAGGAGGACCATCGAGTTCTGCTTTATTGGAAGTTCAAGTACCAGTAAGAGAAAACAAAGAATGTAAAGAATTATATTCCAAGCAGCCGAATATAATCGACGAGAGAGTGTTGTGTGCTGGGTACGTGGATGGCAAAAAAGATTCTTGTCAAGTATGGACTATCGAATTTTACTGGATGATTTTGTTATTAAACATATGTGTACTTCATTTAATGAATTTCAGGGCGATTCTGGAGGTCCTTTGATGTGGCCAAATGGAACTCAATACTATTTAGTGGGCGTCGTGTCTTTCGGTGTAGGATGTGGTGATAAATCTTATCCAGGTGTATACACTAGGGTATCAGCTTTTATGGAATGGATTGTAAACAATATGAATAATAGTTGAAATACCCATATTATTTAATACAATTCAAATTTTGTTGATATGAATGATATAACCGAAGAGTTAGTAAAAAAAAGACAATTTGGTAGGTACTTAATTTGTTTGAAATATTGTTAAACATTTTAGGCAGTATAACAAACTGACTATTATAACTAAAGTAAAATGGTATCTTGACAAAATATAATATAGCGTACAATTTTGTGATTTTATAATTACCTATTATTATCACCAATAAAATATATCGAAACTCAAAATCCTTTTTTGTAAAAATGTTGCAATACAATAATCTTATCTTTATTATCACTTAACAGTACAGGGATTTTTAAAATTCTTGATATGTATTCAGTTAGCATAATTTCATATTTATGCTAGAAATATAAATTATAATATAGATACTTATCAATTCAAAGTAACATTGAAGGCTAGGTAACTAATAGTTATAGGTAAGGTACTTATAGTTATAGGTAAGGTACTTATAGTTATAGGTAAGGTACTTATAGTGTATAATTTTTGTAAGTATCTCATTATAATAATGGAATAATTATTTTATGTTTTATAACGTTTGAATTAAAATCTATTTCAATATGCGAATTATGCAATTAATATTAGAATTTATATTTCACGTATTATATAGTCCATATTGCTATAGAATATTTAACCAAAATAATAAAAAATGATGTAATATTATTTCGAAATTTAAGTTGTTTGATATATTTTATATAGATTATCATTGTTTAGCGATAATTTTTCAGCAGCGGCGGTATCTAATATTATAATATAATAATATTTACACAGGTTTATATAATATAAACCACTGAGTAGAAAAATGATAATATTCCAAAAATACGAAAAGTAAACTGAGATAGCTATTTTGTAGCTGAAAGGTAGACTCATATAATGATTGTATAAAAGATATATCTCATTTTAAACGTTAGGTATTAGGTATTATTGAAATAAAACTTTAAGGAATAAACAGTATTTTTAATTTTCCGAAAGTAGGGTGTTGATGAATACTATCTTTTTTCCACTCAGCTGTTCTATTTTAGTGCTAAGCGTTGAAAAAAACGAGTAAGATTACAGAAATAATAGTTTTATTGTTTTCAGTTTTGTTTTTTGTATTCTAATTCAGATAAAAATACCGGTAGAGAATGGACATTTTGAAAGAAAAGTAATGTTTGCTTGTTTTGGACGAGGACAAATTTTAAAAAAATGTTGAAGATTTGTTGAGCTATTTATAGGCACTTTAAAATATTTGCGAGTTTTTAACTTAGTTTTTATTTAGTAAGTACTATATGGATATAATTATTTGACCTAACAGAAATGGTTTAAAATTTAACAGGAGATTCATTATAAGTTGTACTTAAACTTTTCTACCAGAAATTTTTCTCCACTTTTCAATTGTAGCACTTCTTCTGAAAGATAGTACTTTAAGGAGATCATTTTTTGATTTTTCCAGCTGTTTTTATAATAAACGGGAAAAACCGGGAAAACACACAGGAAGAACCATGCATATTGGGGAAATAGGTACATTATTAAACAAATATTATTAAAAAAAATAAATAATGCATATTGCATATTATGACATTGTTTTAACCATAATAAGACATTTATTTATATATTGTTGACAATAAAGCAATACTTTTAACCGCGAATTCCACTCAGAATTGTTTTTCGTTAGTAATGGTTAATTGTTGCGTACAGATATACATGCAATTTCCTCTCTAGCTTCTAAAATGTTTACCTATAACAGTGGCCCATCCATCATGCGAAGTATGTCAGTATCTTTTTCACAAATGTTTTTTGTGAGGTCGAAGTATTTCTAGTATATAGAGGTTTGGCAAATATTATTTGACTCACTACAACTCTATATATGCAAAATCTTTTACAATTTCCAATCACAAAGCTAAATTTATTTATATTCAAATATACCCTGAATACGAGGTATATTTGAACGTGTATGGGGTAGATGTGAATCTGTGTCTGTGTCCTGTGGTGTGTGTAGTACAAATAAAGGAACAAAGTTGAATGTTTAATATAAATTAATAATTAGCACCGAATAAAATTAGTCGTTCAAATAAAAATAATTCAATTTAATAAATTAATAATTTAGGAATATTGTTTAAACTTCGTAGTAAATATTACATGCTTTATAATTCAAATGTACTCCATCCTAAAATAAGCAATACAAACTGTATTTAAAATTGTAATAATTATATGTTAGTATGTATAATAAATATACTGCTAACAAACAAAATTTAGGATAAGTAAACATTATTCTATACTTGTGATTTTTGATTTTTAATTCCAAAAAGTTTTTACTGAAAAAAAAGATTTGTTTTAAAAAAGTACATAAAACACACTATCATTTTTATTTATCAATGGTTGAAAATGGTTGATATCATAACATGGTGTGAAAAACAGTATGGCCACTTTAAATTACTGTTTGTATTAATTTAAGTAACTAATAACCAAATGCGGAGTGTATTAGAAAAAATTCAAATACACTCCGCATTCTAATTTGCTCCATCTATCGTGGTAATATTACTAATATTGGCTAGAAAAGAATACATAATAGGAAGGCTGTATGGAAGGTTTTTATTATATTCAAGATAAATACTAATTGTGTATGTAACAAAAACAAAAGATGATTTGATTACACCAAACATTTAGTCAGACTACGGCATAGATTACAGCAATACCTTTATTTACATTTATCAGATTGTTATGAACTTGTTTGAATTAACAAAAATTGGTGTTATATCGGTAAAAACAGCTTGACCAGTGTATTTTTTTAGATTTTATAATAAATTTTAATTATAATCAATCTGCGGACTAGAATACGTATTTATAATCCCGTTCTACCAGATGAAAAATAATTCTGGCCATGGCAATGAAGAGGTGTCCTTGTACTGTAGTCAAAATGTATTCATGTTCGAGAATGCATAAACGTACATTTATAGATAGGTAATACTTGTATTATAAGACTGCGATATATTATATAAGCAGAAAATAAAAACAAGGTAAAAAATACACAGTATCTACGTTGTACGTTTACTGTTGACTGTTACAACACGGGGAAATTTATTTTTTTTGTTTGTGTGGTGTTTGCTGTGTGTACTGTACCGTTTCAATTTAGCAAAAGTGAGTACCTACCTACATGTATTCATTATAATTTTTTCAAGTCGTTTGTTTTACTGATGTACCTAATCGAACTGTTCCTTTCTATTGTTCCAAACTTATACATTAGTTATAAATTGTAATGTTATTCAGGGTGATCATTATAACGCAAGACGTTCATTATCGATTTTGAAATCGTTTGTTTCCTCTACATTTTATTTGATTATTATTGTATTCACACAAAACATAAAAATAATACGTGTTTCGTGATTTCGACGTCGGTTAAGTTTTATATCAGAATCATCGCACAACAGATCGATTTGAATATCGGATAATTAGATTTTAACCTATTGAGCTGTTAAATTTGATTCGCAGATTGTCAAACGCCATCTAATCTTGATGGCGTCTGCTTGGACATGAATCTCTGCCCACCGTTACAATTGTTGTCCGAAGTAAAAAATAAAAACGAATCTGTTACAAGTTTTTTGAGGAATTCTATTTGCGGATACGGATTCCAACAATACAAAGTGTGTTGTCCGTCGGCGGGTGGTACGTTTTCTGTAACTAACTCTAAATCGAAACCCGAAGTTCCAATACCAACAAAAGATAAACCGGTTTTGTCGTCTGATAGTTCACCACCCAAAAGTGTTAGCGTAGAAACGAATGTTTTCATTAGAAGTTCAGAAGATTCAGGTACTTAACTAGGACCGGAATCCTAAATTATTTTAACAATATTATAATTTATCATGAAAACTAAAGTTTTGTCATAATATTATACAGACTTTAAGACAATCACGAATCTAATAGACATTTAATCAATTTACTGAATATTTTCATGAATAATAATAGCTAGTCGATAATGTTACCAATTTTAATTGACAGATTGTATAACACCGAAAGCTCTGAAAGGCATTTGCATTAACATTCAGCGTTGTAGAACGCTGGATCGCGTGTTTAATAAATATAATAAAAACGAATCTATAGCAAATTTTCTCTGACAATCGTTTTGTTTATACGATGGCCAATATCCTAAAGTGCGTTGTCCGTTAAATTGAAACGGTTTCGTTACCGAATTTGCCAACACAGAAATCGTGTGGACTATCTCCTACTTATCTAAAATCGTTGGCGGACAGAAGGCGAATTTAGGTAAGAACGGTAAAGATAATATTTACACGTAATCAATTTTTGGTGGGTTGTTATTTTTGAATAATTTAATAACGCATTGTTCGAAAAAAAAAAATCCACTAAAAATTGATTATAACATGTTATTGCGTTATTAAATAAAGATTATACACCTACTAAATTATGATACCTGTTCCTTTATTTATGTGCTTGGCCCTGGATAGCAGCCATAGGATACAAAAACATATATTGCCCCAGGAGCAGTTATGAATGGCTATGCGCTGGAACTTTGATATCGGAGAGCTTTGTACTAACCGCTGCTCACTGTACGACCGGAACTATTTTTGAAAAAAAAAAATTGTAAATCTATACTTCAGATACGCGAGGTAGAAAAATTATTTTGAAAAACATCGTTCTTATTTTCTAACTGTTCTTTAGGTGGTTAACCGTATTATTGTTTAGGGACTTAGAATTTGGAACACACATCATTTTTGTACGTTTTAGATCCATTAGCATGTTTGAATTTGCTAACAAATTGTCCAAATGTTTGTCCAAATTGTCAAGATGATTTTCAGTATTTAGTTTATTTAGTTTTGAAAAGCTCTAAAATCAAGAAATTATTTTTGAAAGTTCCGTAAAATAATCACATTATATTTATATTTATTTTGGATACACCAAATTTCAAGTAGAAAAATCGAAAAACTTAGATTTAATTTGTCAATAAATTCATTTTAACTTTAAAAATGGAAATCAGACGTTAAGAAGTGCCTATTTTTAACTACCCACCGCTTATTGGCTTAAAATGTCATATTCGTAAGTGATTGTTAAAATTGTCTTATTAAGGTGGTAATTGAATGGTAGAAAATAATTTTTAAATTTTACTTGATTGGGGACAATTTGAAAACTTTTTTCAATCCCCTAGTGTCTAATATTCTTTAAAATTTAAAAGTATAAAGCATCAAATAATTTTGTTTTAAATAATATTTTAGAGAGGTCGTGCATTTGGGAGATTTAGACTTAGATCCTTCTGTGGAAGATGAAGCTACACCCATTGATTATGAAGTGTTGCGTATTTTTCAACATCCGCAATATAACAGATTCGAATACACTAATGAAATTGCATTATTACTACTAAACGATACAGTTACTTTTAACTGTAAGTTATTTTAAAATTTTCTTTTTTACAACTATACCTTTCATTTTTTTTTTTTTAACTGAGACAGTATTTATGTAGGTATATAACTGCAAAAACATGATATTTTTCAGAATCCATTCAGGTCTTGAAATATAATTATTATATTTCCCTCCGTTTGATGCTACTTTTAGTGTCCATAATATACGAACTAAACGAAATTTCATTTTTTTTTTTCTAGACTTAATTCAACCCATTTGTTTGCCAACTTAATCGAATTTGAGACGACATTCGATACGTCAATATTTACCATTTGTTGCCGGTTGGGGTTCCGTAGGATTTCGTAAGTACAAGTAATATTATTGGTAAATATAAATTGTGTAGTACCTATCCAGAAATTTACCTATTGTATTTAGTAAGTATTATATTTTTTTTTACATACAAATTATACAATTTTCAAAACTTGTTTTCCAAGTCTTTGCGTACATTTACGAATACTTTGAAGAATAATGAAAAAAATAAAATAAAAAAGTGTTGAAACTGCTGTTTTAGGTGGAATGTACGGAAGGTATGATACATTAAAGTTATTTAATAAAAAATGATTCTGAACAAAGTTTTGTTACGGATTGTTCTGAATTTTTCTCTAGTTGGTGCATTGTGATGGTCACTTTTTGATTTCTCAAACGGTTTTCGAAATAATTGGGAAAAACCCGAAAAAAATTATAGGTAAAACGGCACATATTTACGGCACGCCGCGACGTTACCGTTTTCATTGTTTTTATTATGTTTACACGATATTTTCTACCAGAAATATTGCTCCAATCAAAAAATGTCAAGAGATCGATTTTGTTACTTGTAATATTTCGTTTCTGTCTAAGCGATTTGTTTTTTGATATCAAAAATAATTTTAGTGAGAATCGGAAATAAAACCAAAAAAGACGAAACATACGATTTTTTTCCAAATTACGGCACAACTATTTCATTATTTTAAATTTGTACGGCTTATGTTTTCTACCATACATATTGCTCCAATAGATAAATTACAAGAGATCTATTTTTTGAACTTTTAATCCAGTTCACGACTGAGAAATTCATTTTATGATTTTCTTGGCCGTTTTTGCGGTAACTGAGAAATCCGGAAAAGTACTCGTTCCTGTATTCGATAAGAAACGCGTTTCGAGCTTTGTTTCTATGAAAGGAACACGTTTCTTCCCAACACTGATGTATCGCTTGGTAATTATTTAAAACAATTTAGGAAATGTAACCAGTTCTGCTTTATTGCAAGTTCAAGTACCCGTAAGAGATAACGAAGACTGTAAACAATTATATTCCCAGCAGCTGAATATAGTCGACGAGAGAGTGTTATGTTTGAATTACTGATTATTTTTATACCTATACGGATTATTCTTTATATAGATGCCATTCAACTGTCAAAAACTGGTTTACGTATACTATGGTTGTAATACGATAAATAATAATTTTTTTTTAAAAAGACTTTGTATGAGTAAGTACCCCTCGTATAAAATATATGAATGTATAATAAACAGCGGAGTCGGGAAAATTATACTTGTGGACCGGTTTCAGGCACAGCAGAATGTTGTTTTACGTATAATGTTTAAAGTGCTTACCATGTTCCACCTCCATTGCATATCTAATAAATAAAAATATATTATGTTGATTATCTATTGATAATTAAAACATAATGTATAATTACTAATTAATAATTATATATTATTATGTTTTAAATGAAACTTAATTGTCCTCAGAATGGAAGTCATGAACAAAAACTAACATGGTCCGATATGCGATATCCTAAATATTGGCCGATACATGATTTCAGCTTATACTAATATTCACCGCTGACAATAATCATTCGAGTTTTAAGAATATCTGAACGTTACAGGTTAATATTAAATGTTCTATGTATTTGTATATACAAGGCGATTCGCTAAGCGTGCACACCTCATATGTTTTCAGTTAAATTTTGCATACATTCAAATTCTGATTTATGGAATTTTTAAGTGTTGATATTTATAAGCCGATATTTACGTGTATTTAGATTTTTCCCAATATTCAAGAAGTATCGCCACAGGATAATCCCGTGAAAAATCCAAGTAATCGAAAATATCGGCTCTAACTACACTTAAAAATTCTAAAAATCAGAAGTTGAATATATACGAAATTTAACCAATATATTTTAATTACATGTTGTCCAAGGGCTAGATTACAGATTTATAAACATTTATATGATGACGCATGAGGTCTACTTATAAGTTACTAATAGATTTTTTAATAATAACGAAAAACCGTATTTTATTATTATTGGTATACGTATATTAAGCAGGTATTTTATCGTGATTTATTTGTTATCTTCGACAATAATCATTACGGTACCTACATAAAAATGAACTGCAACAAAATTGTATTGCACCCTGTTCCAAAAGAGGGCATACCGCTTTCGCGACCAGTTTTCGTTCGCATCCCCACTGGGTAGCACCGGTCACGACCATAGACAACCGCGAGAAACATCATTCCTTAGAGGAATAATACGTTTCTTAACGTGTATAGTTTCAAAGTTCAAAGTGACAGGTATATAATTGGGTACACGTGAGATAAACTCTAAACGTGTTTATTAATAAATGAACTGTTTTCGTACTCGACTGGGAAAAACACATAATAATAATAATATATGTAAAACTCCCCTCTACCAGCAGAATAATATTTCTGGCCGTGGCAATGTAAACGGTGTCCTTGTATTCTAGTCGAAATGTATGGTATATACAGTATAGGTAATAATATTAACAGCAAATAAAAATACAAGGTAAACGTATCAATATAAATCGTAGGGTAACTCAGTATCGAATGCGAGATGGGCAAAATAATATTTTATTAATTTATTATTTCCACACGATTTTGTTTTTAGTTGCAGGTACCCGCGTCGAATACAACATGGGGAAATATATTTATTTTGTTTGTGCGGTGTTCGTTGTGCGGACTGTGTCCACCCAAACCAGTACAAGTGAGTGTACATACTTGTTATCATTTTTAAAGTTATCTCTTAATCGGAAACATGTTAATCGTTTTTTTCCTTATAAACTATACATAGTTATAACGATGTATACATATAAAAATAACGTTAAATAAAATTATAAAATAAATACTTCCATCAGTTATTCATTTTTAGTAACCGTAATATACATATGCATATTACATTAGTTTATCAAATACACAAAAATTGTTTACGTCAATATGTGCTTAATTGTAACAAAAAAAAAAAAAAAAAAAAAAAAAAATACTGAAAATCATTGTTTCATTAGCTGCATTAAGCACAGTTTACCTTTTTCACGCGGGTTAGTGATAATGTTATTATTAAACGCATTATTATAAATTATAATTTATAAGACTAATAAGGTACTATAATAATACTTTAACATAAAATTGATGAAAAGGCAAAAACACAAATTATAATATTTGTCGACCACATATTACACTTCAGGAGTCTTGTAGATGTCAATGACAGGTGGAGAAAAAAGGTAAGGGGGGAGGATTCAACTTCTCCCCCCTTACGCACGGACCTGTTTATATTATATAGTTGTTTTGTGTTTATTTATTACTAAATTATGTTGATAACACATTGAAGATACAAATTTGTTTGGTTTTTGAATCTATTCAATGCATTGATAAATCACGATTGCAAACGAAAAACTATTCTGAAAGCATTTATATTTTCTACATTTCATATGATAAAGAATCGGTCATTTTGGAAAGGCCATTTCTCCATACTTTTTCAATTAGTTTTATGTGATAGATGTGTTTCACTAATAATAATACATAGTTCCTGCGAGACCGCCATATCTTCGACAATTCATTATGGTCTAAATTTATTTGATGCGCTCAAAAAGGCCATTTCTCCAAAAAATCTTTATCAGTAATATTATTCGTTTTTAAGAAGAAAACCTTGAAGAAGATTTTTAAGAAATATAAAAAGTTATACATTTGTTATTATTTTTTTTTATTACTATTTAGTAGTTTATAAATAAAATGCATAATATATTTTGTATGACTTATTATTTAATTTTATATGGTACAATTTATTAGATTCGCAAGGTTATAATCAATGAAATTTGCAATCCATTGGAAAAGGCCATATTTCAAACACGTTTATTTCTTCTTAAAATAATAAATATTATAGTAAATTTGTTTATTTTATAAGGGAGTTAAATAATTCAACCCCCATTCAGTTTTTATCTAACTTAACTTTGATATTGATCTCTAAAAACAGTTTTTTACGTTTTCTGAATATTTTCATTTTCTTTTTATGGAGAAATGGCCTTTTCGAAATGACCTATTCAATTATTATTGCATTCACATAAAACAAAAAATAGTGTGACTTTTCGTGATTTTGAAAAAGGTTAGGTTTCATAGCAGGACTCCTACATTCAATTTAATTATTAAATAGTTAGATTCTAACCTATTATGGCGTTAAATTTTATTCATAGATTGTTCGACGCCGTCTAATCTTGATGGTGTCTGCATGGATTTGAATCTCTGCCCGTCGCTTAAAGCGTTGTCCGAAGAACAAAAAAAAAACAGTTCCGTTATAAGTTTTTTGCGAAATTCTATTTGTGGATTCAAATCCAAACAATACAAAGTTTGTTGCCCGTTGGCGAATGAAACGTTTTCAGTACTTAACACTAAACTAAAACCTGAAGTTCAGGAGACAATAGTAGACAAATTGTCGTCGTCAACTAGTTCACCACCCGTGATCGAAAACGGACAAGCCAATACGTTCATAAGAAATGCAGAAGATAAAGGTAAATAAAGACTGTAGAATTATTTAACAAATAGTCGTATGCCCGTTATATGACGGGTTATAATGACCGTTGCAATGTTTAAAATAGCTTATTCTAAATTCATATGCTTCAAATCTTTATGACGAAAACTTTTTTCATTTGAATTTCAATGATACTAAAGTTTTATCTTTGCTCTCTATCCATCTATCTTATGCTTTTTCACGCTTTCATCATGAATTTTCTACTATCGCTTATACACATCGCTTATCTATCCCATCTTATATCTTATCAACATTAATATATCACTTATAGCACCACTGCCACCTTGACCTTCACTCTCATTGTATATTTAGTTCCACTCTCTTCAGCTGCTTTCCACAGTTAAACTTATTTCACAATCTTCCCCCCCCCCCGTACCATCTTATTCCGTCCTAAACCTAAAGTTTTGACTATTAGGTACTATTAAGTATAGAACAATCATATTAAATCTAATAAACATTTAAATAATTTACTGAATATTGTTAGTTATTTACTAATTTTATTGATTCCAATTGACAGAATGCAAAACCCCGGACAAATTAAATGGCATTTGCATAAACATTCAACGTTGTAAATTGCTAGATGACATGTATTTGAAAAATAATAAAAACCAATCTATTGCAAATTTTTTATCACAATCGTTTTGCGGGTACGAAAACAGTTATCCTAAAGTGTGTTGTCCGTTAAATTCGAATTATGAAACAGTATGGTCACCTCGTTTGCCATCACGGTCAACATGTGGAGTACCCGGTATTTCTAGCGACAAAATCGTCGGCGGACACAATGCGGAATTGGGTAAGAACGGATAAGATAATATTTACATGTTGTAATCAATTTTTAGTGGGTTGGTATTTTTGAATATTGCGTTATTGAATTAAGATTATAATCCTACTCTATTACGGGACTCGTTCCTTTCTTTTAAGGTGCTTGGCCCTGGATAGCAGCCATAGGATACAAAAACATGTATTACCCGAGAATTAGCCATGAATGGCTATGCGGTGGAACTTTGATATCGAATATCTATGTATTAACCGCTGCCCACTGTACGATCGGCCCTGCTCTTAAAAATAAACAATTGTAAGTTGACAAGTTTTTTTTAAACGAATCGCCTAATTATTAATTATTCTTATTTCTTCACTGTTCGTTAAATCATTGTGTGATATGGTAGTTAAACGCAGTTCTGTTGAAGAGGTTGAAACGCCCATTTTTCATAAGATTTACACCAATAAGCGGTGGGAAATTATGTCCATTTCTTAAAGTCCGATTTTAATTTTGAAAGTATGTATGAATTTATTTACAAGTTGAAAGTTGTTTAGAAAGTCGATTTTCAATTTTCAGTTTTGGAGACCTTCAAAATTAAAAAATTCGTTTTTCGTGAAACAATCACTTTTTAGAACACTCGTGAACGATTAAATTATTATTTACAAATTATTAAACGTTAATATTATTTATAGTTTTTTTTTTTTTTTAATTACTTTTGCTAATTCATTTTTTCGTTATGTTTGTTAAAATTTACTTATTTTCTTTGTGTAAGTTATATTTATTTTTGTTTGTTTAAATTGTTTTTTCAATTATAAAGTGGATCATAATTTGCTCATTCAACATTTTTCTGTACACATTGAAATCCATCTAAAAGAAGATTTGATCACTCGAACTGGCAGCCTCGACGTAATTATGTAAGTTCGTAATTTTGGGCACAATACATTTTAAATCGAAAAATGTACTTTTTAAACAACCCAGATAATCTGTTAACAAATGCATGTATTCTTTAAAAATTTAAATCGGACATATAGATACTTCCATATGTTTAATTTTCCATTTTCCTCTTAAATAATTTTCGGTTAATATATTTATGAAAGAATTTAATCATTAAGGTGGCAAACATATTTTTCAAATTTTACTAAATTTTATAAGTTAAGTTTTGAAAATCGCATTCAACCCTCTAATATCTATTATTACTTTAAAATTTTACGTAAATTTCATCGAATATTTTTTTCTTAATTTTTATTTTAGGGAGCTTGTGCGTTTAGGTGACTTAGATTTAAATCCTGCCGTGAATGATAGTGCTACACCCATTGAATATGCAGTTCTACGTATTATAAGACACGAAAAATATGACGGTACAAAATACATTAACGACATTGCGTTACTAAAACTAAACGATAGTGTTACTTTTACCAGTAAGTTATTTTAAAAGTTTGTCCTTTTTAGAGCTATAGGTATAAAAGTGTGTACTTTTAGCTAACATTTACTCAATACCAATTAGTATTTGCGTATAACATATGCAGAATGCAGAAACGATCAATGTGCCATTTCCCAGAATTATTCCAGATCTTGAAACATATTAATTATTATATTGTTGTACGATTGATGATTTTTCCGTTATACGTTATATAATATAAGTCATTTTGTAGATTTAATCCGACCTATTTGTTTGCCAATTTTATCGAGGATAAGAGAAAGCACGTTTGTTGGACAATTTCCATTTGTTGCTGGTTGGGGCTCCACAGAATTTCGTAAGTTTTTTTTGATAAATAAAGTACCTATCCAGAAACGTAACTAATGCATTCAGTAAGTATATATATATATTTTGTATACGCAGATTTCAAAACTTTTTTACCTACATACACTCGTATATACTTTCTTAGCAGGTTCGTGAAATTTGTTTATTGAATGTAAATTTAGGAAATGTATCATAAAGAATTATATACATTTATAAAAAAAAAAAAAAAAAAACAGTTTTTCATGCTGATCACTGGTGATGGGTGTACCACAGTTGTAGGTAAGAATATATTGTAAAGTAATTTATTTTACATCTATACAGAACGATAAATCATTCCTTACGAATAAACATTCTGAACGAAATTTGGTTGAACATATTTTTAATTGGTGTGATTTTTGGCGATTTTAAAACGCTTATAATAAAACTGCTATATTTGTTGAATTTTTTTATACTAGGTAAGTTAAACTAATGATGAATTTCATATTCAATTCCCAAGCAGTTCTGTTTAGCCAAATAATTTTATCTACATCAAATCAAAACTTTTTCTGTTCCTTCGCCTTCATTCTAACTAATTTGGAGCCGGCCACCCTCGTCTTAAACTTCCGATCTCCCATCTTGCATACACTGGATGTCCTCATATTCTTTATCGCGTCTTTTTCGGTCTTCCTCTTCCACTCTATCCTCCTACGTTGATTTTCATTACAGTTTTTACTATTTTTGATTCATGTCTCCCAGTGGCGCACCCATGGGGAGGCGGTTTGGAGCTATAGTCCCCCCATATTTTTTTTTTTAAGCTTATATATTATTTTGGAAAATTGATTTTTCAGAATTATTTCATGGTGATTTTTTTTTTTTCGAATTTGATTATTATAATTTTATAATATTGATTTACAGATTTATGATAAATACAGATCAATAGTTATATTTTGTACATGATAAAGTTTGTGGTAATCACCGATCAATTATTTTGTTGAAAATTATTTTTAAATTTATGTTAGTACTATATAGTGATGGGCACAACTGACTATTTATTACTATCGATTACTAGTCGGTTTTCATAGAATACTACCGACTAATTTGTTAACTAATATAAAATCTTTGAAATAATTCAATTAATTATTCGTTAGTCGACTAAAAATTAGTCATTAGTCATTAATCGAATAAATTAGTCAATTAATCTCTATTCACTGCATATTATTCACAAAATGGGTTGTTGTCGGGCGTCGGGGCACGGCAGTGAATAGTGGTGTCAGTCGGCGAGACAGATGTTTATGGATAGTTTAATATATTTTTAAAAAACGCACATACTTCGCAAAACAAGTGAGCCACTTTTGTAGGTGACAGCTAAAATATTTATATTTGCTTTTTCTAGGAGTGGTAATATTTGAGCCTTTTTTTTAATGTTGCGAGTGTTTTACGTAATTTTTATTTGGTATGTACTCTGTGGATAAAATTGTTGGGCTAAACAGACAAGAAGTTCATTATAAGTCGTACTTAGTGGTAAAAAAAAAAAAAAATAAATGTAGTCGTTAGTTGATTAAAAATTAGTCATTATTCATTAGTTAGTTGAATAAATTATCTCGTTAGTTAGTTACACAGTATACTACCGATTATTAGTTCGTTTAGAATCGTTTTTCATTAACAATGGTTAATCGTTGCGTATAAGTATACATTAAATTTCACCTTTACCTTTCCAATTTCTCACCTACAACAGTGACCCGCCGTGCCGAAGTATGTTCGCATCTTTTTTTTTATAACTAAGAACAATTTTTGAATTGTTTGCTATTTGAATTCATTTAAAATGCGTAGCGATTTTGGCAACGTTACTTCCAATATCACGCGCAATCGTATGCTTTTGAAGGGTGAAAATCATGTTCTTTATTATCCCGGCACCGTGCGCAATTGTATAAACTTAAAGGTAAAACGCACACTATCGTACTGCATCCCTTCCTACAAGGAAAACGGTATTGTCAATTGTAACGTGAATACCACAACCCCACAGAAACAATACCATATGCCTATTGGAATCATCCACCTGGCATTTCCTTCAGTAAGTGTTCGGGATCCCAGATTCACTAAGCCCGTAGAATTATATGCCCCCAAGTGTTTTCGGTTTCCTTACGTTTTTTTTACGGTTTTTACCAATGCCTTTTCGAGTACTAACTGGACAAAATTGTCTAACAGAAATCACTCTTAAAGTTGATTATCGGAGCAAGATTTCTGGTAGAAAATTTTTTTACTGACCGAACAAAAAAAACAAAAATAGTAAACCGGTACATTCGGGGCTACGCCCAAAATATAGTCGTCATTTAGAAAATATCGTCGTTTATCCAACACGGTTTTAAACCACTGGAAACGTATAACAATATCTTTGTCTTATTAAGATAATTAGTGATAATTGTGACTTATACACAACAAATATTTTAATTTTATCGTTCCTGTATTAGATCCAGTTTCTATATTGATCATATTATCGTCTTATTATTATAATTTTATAATTGGTAATGCAAATTAAGAAGAGACTTTTTGTGCCAGGAATAAAAATACTTAAAGATATTAATTTAATATACATACTATATCATGTAGCTCTTATTTTAAACATATTTAGGAGGATCATCGAGTTCTGCTTTATTAGAAGTTCAAGTACCTGTAAGAGATAATGATGATTGTAAAAAATTGTATGCCAATCTGTCGAATGTAATCGACGGACGAGTGTTATGTGCGGGGGAAGGTGATAAAGATTCTTGTCAGGTATAATTTAATATCATAATAACTTTTTTTACTGTACCTATTCATTTTTCTGTATATTTGCCACGAGTGATTTCAGGGTGATTCTGGAGGACCTTTGATGTGGCCAACGCCAACTCATTACTATTTAGTGGGCATAGTGTCTTCCGGAGTAAGATGTGCCGCCAAAGAATTTCCAGGTGTATACACTAGGGTGTCAGCTTTTATCGAATGGATTGTAAATAATATGAACAACAGTTGAATTGTATAATAATAATATCATAACAATGTTGTGATAATGTTCTATTGAAGTCAGTAATCATTTTATGAAAACTGACACTTGTAACTTAAAAATACATTATTGTATTAGTCATATGGATAATACATACTAAACTAAAATGTAGCGATTTGCAATAAATTATTATTACCTTGAAGTATTAAATATATTATTTTATTGCCTACTATTTTATAATATACACTTGTGTACGTACCGCGTACGGTGTAAACTATACGGTACATACTATTTTCCAATTGTGTATGAAATGTTGATATTCCTGTGTAAATTGTACTTGAACTTAATGTGTGAAAAATTTTGTTTTAAAAAAATATATTGTTGCACATCCGGGTTAATTTAAATCCTCCAGAAATCGGATTACAACGAAAACACGAATTGATTTGTCTAGAATGAGTCCGATGAACTCACCAATAAACGTACAATTGTTTTATTATTGGTTTGTTTTTCTGAAAACTTCAATGTATCACTCATTTAATATCCGATGAATAATTTCTGAGCAACAGCCGTTTTAAATTCTACTGATCCGTGTGAGAACCGATGTTAACTAGAGAATAACCTAACCGCGTTAAGCAATAGTTTTCAGAAAAATAACCTTTACATAATGGCTATGTTAAAATTTTCCGAAAATAATAAAATAAAAAGTTATTTATAAAAAAAAAAAAAAAAATTAACTCAAATATAATTATTTATAGTCCTCTTCCCCGCGAGTAGTATAAATCGAAATAAGACGCGATATTGTACGAGGTCTGGCTATTAAACAACGAGACTGCTTATGAAAAATAGTTTTATTTTAAAAATTATTCCACAACCAAATGTTTCCCTTCAATATACTCTCCTACCCTCTTCACACACCGTTTCATTCGTTTCTTCCATTGCTCGAGGCAGTGCTGAAAGTCTGTTTTCGTAAGACCATTCAGGAGTTCCGCCGATTTTTGTTTCACCTCTTCCATCGACTCAAACCGGATTCCTTTTAAGGCAGACTTTATCTTCGGAAACAAGTAAAAGTCGCAGGGTGCCAAGTCGGGTGAGTAAGACGCGTGTTCGAGTACTGGAGTGCCTTAAGCGGCCAAATAACGCTTCACAGACAGCGCGTTATGGGCAGGTGCGTTATCCTGGTGCAAGATCCACGACTTGTTTTTCCACAATATCGACCGTTTCTTACGAACTCATTCGCGCAATGTTGCCAAAACTGTCAAATAGTAATGTTGGTTCACAGTTTGACCCTCTGGAACCCATTCAGTCATCACGATGCCGTTGATATCGAAGAAAACGATCAGCATGGTTTTGAATTTGGATTACGACTGAATTGGATTCCGTACACTCTCGACTTTCAGAAAATAATTTATGCCACTCAAAAACACGCGCCCGAGATAGGAAATCCTCACTATAGGCCTCTTTTAACAACTTATAGCACTCAGTTGGAGTTTTTTTTTAGTTTAACGAGAAAATTTTACGTTTATCCGTTGCTCATGGTTTTCGTCACACATCGTTTTCGGCAAGAGAAAAAAACATGTTCGTTTCTAAACGCTACAGAAAAAAATACTAATGCGCCAACAAAAACCCGATTTTTCACTGGCACAATAGACACTTCCAGCTAATCAGCGCTGTATACGGTTTTCGCCTGACCTGTTTGGGACGCTCTCTGCGCGCGCAGTCTCGTTATTTAATAGCCAAACCTCGTACGTTTGATACGCCGTTATGGTTGTGAAATATCATAGTCTCTCAGCACTCGATTACGGCACTTAAGTCACCCGCACAAAAGCGGATAACGTAATACGGCGTCCGCGAACGCAGTGTCCACTGCCGCGGCTCGGTGCCGTCAAAATCGCGACGTTGTTCGGCGTTGGAGGAGGCACGCGTTATACTTTTAGTATTGCGTATCGCGGACCGGTTCCGGGCAAAATGCAAAACGGAAGTGGCAAAAGCGCTCGGGGAACATTTGTGTCGCGTCGGTATTTACCGGGTTGACGGCCGTGCACTCGTGCAATACGATAATAATCGGTGCGATTCCCGCGGGTATTCGCGGCCTATAACAGCGCGTCGCGCCCAAATAAATATTTTTTTTAATCGTTTTTCACGTCCTACGGGCCAGCGCCGTTGTGTGTCATAGTGCCGTGACGTTCTGTACAGCCGTTTCGTCAACCGGAGTGTCCCGGGACGACGCGCGTCACGTTCTTGGCCGACACGGAACAACGGGAATCAACGGGTACCGACGGAACGCAATTGATAAGGAGTGTTGATAAAATCGATTCAGGTTACGGGTACGCTAGCTGACGCGTTCGTACCCCGTAGGTGGCATCCGTATTGACTTGTAGATGGTTATTCGCGTTTATAACGATTCATCGCGACAACGCAGAACACGATAGACGGTTTCTTCGGACGAATTCGACAATCGCAGTGACTTTTGTTCCGTTCGATATTTTAAAATTTGCTATTTTCATATTTCGCAATGACGATTAAAGCCAGGTGTTATTATGATTCCCATAGTTTATTTGTTACTGATATTATTATTATTATTATTGTTGCTAAACTAAAAATACAAATCTTTTTTATACAATTCAAGATAATTCAAGACCGTATAAATTTTTGATTATAACATTTTTTTTTTTTTTTTTTTAACTCATCATGTATCGTTAATTATTATCATTTTTATGAAGTTTAGACAAACCGTTTATTTATAAAATTGTTGTCTCGCATTTTATGAAAAATTAAATAGAAAAAATGTGACTGCGTTTGTCGAATTTTCGTGAGACACCATATGTATATATATACTTGTTTATTTCGTTTATAATATCAGTTTTGGTTCCATTAAATAATATTACAATTAGACACAATGGATTTGGCTCAGTATCAGATGAGTAAAGGCTTGAAATAATTCAAATTGTTCAATTTTATTTTGTATGTTCTTTATCGAAACACTATCGTTTTACCTTGAGATCACCAGGGGTTCGTATTTTACAGTCGGAGGTCCGTTTTAAAAATCGTGCCAGACTTTCGACATCTGACAAAAACACTGCAATGATAATAATTATACAAACATAGTTTTGTCGACTATCTCGCGTAAAGTCTATAGGTTTACGTACGTTTTATCTGAAAAATGAGATATTCAGCAAAACTTTCCGGTCATTTTATGGTTAAACAAAAAAAAAAAAAAAAAAAAAAATGGTTATGAAATAATATTCTCTTTTATCGGAAACTTTTCATTTTTTCGTTTCGAATCTTTAATTTTCACGAGTAGTTTCAATAACAAGCACAAATCGTTCGCGTAATATACATTCGCATTTTATTTTGTACATTTTTATATTCTTATTAAATTTTCACATATTATTTGTGTTCAAAGAACAAACAAAAAAAAAAAAAAAAAATTCTTTTCTGATAACGATTATTTCGTTCGCGCGTATATTTTTCAAACATGCATAGGGTGTTTCGAGCGGATAATTATTTACGCTCGACGAATAGTCTGTATACAGGACGTATAGATCGCGCTGCGTGTTATACACAACAGCGTTTTGTACACAGTTTATACCGACACTCCCGACTCATTGCTCGCCGAAACCCGTGAATCGGCAATGCAATAAAACCACTGTTGAATTATGACGGTTTTTGCGCAGAAGTTTTGTCGAACGGACGAACACAGCTCTCCGCATTCCAAACGATGGCTGTCGCCCGCGGACAAGGCGTTTGCAGCGTCGTACTATGCGCTGTCGTCGTAATAGTATACGAAAACAGGAAATCGAACACACCGGGCGAGCGTTTGAAAAAAAAAAATAAAAAAAAAAAACAAAATCCTTGAATTGGCACCTAGGTACCTATAGAAACCTGCACCTACTCGGGCGTCACGCAGACGGTTCCGAGGCGGTTTTTCGCGATCATCATGGACAGAAACGTTTGCAATGCATTGTCATTCTGGTTGGTTTTGTTCGTGCTGCCCCCCGTACGGCTACAACAACCCAAGCCCGATAACGGTGAGTAACGTTTTTCATTTTCTCAATAATATCAACGCGCGTGGGGTTCGTACAGCCGTTGCAGTTTTGCGAGACGGCGCATTAATAACGCGCGCTTGACACTCGGTAGATTGAAAACAAAATAATGTGGGCAGGTTAATGTGTCCGAATTCGCAATCGAAGAAGGTTCGATAGTTTTATAGTATTGCACTTTTAAGCGAGTTTCGGCTTGGAAATCAATGTCTGTTAACGGATAAACCAATAAATATAATCAAATTCAGGGCCATTCAATTGAAACATTAAATTGAGTAATTATCTCTAAAAAAAAAAAAAAAACACTCTTGTTAAAAAAAAAAAAAAAACTGATATATTTCGCACGATCGGCGGGGTACGGTTGTAAGTGACAAATTGGAAAGGTAGGATATAGAGAGAAATTTGATGTATATCTGTCCGTAACGATTAATAATTTCTAACGAAAAACGATTCTGAACGGAGTTCGGTTATACATGTTTTGAAAGGTCGTAATATTTACGATTGTCGTAAAAATTTGATATTAAAATTCTTATAAAAACAATTCTACATTACACTGAACCCCTAATAAATTTTCTAGTATTTCTGTTTGGTTTAACAATTTTATTCACAGAGTATACTTGACAAATAAAAATTACGTAAAATACTTGCCAAATTAAAATCTCTATAAATAACTCAAAAATAGCTAAAATGTTTTGATAATTTTACCACGTCTAGAAAAGACAAATATACGATTTCTGACGAAATTTCAAGTCTCTAAATTGAAATTCAACAAAAAACAAAATTGAAAAATAATAAAAGTATTATTTTCGAAAACTGCTTGGAAAATCAAAAAAATTACCTTTCTAGATAAAATTCCCTTTTAGAAAAAGTACCACGCTCGATATATCAGAACAAGATTTCTGGTAGAATTTTTTGTACACATTATACAAAAAAAAATACAAAAATAAATGTAAAACTAATACATTCCTCGCTTTGCTCTGAATCTAAAAATAAACATTATTGTAAAACCATTACATTTTTCGCATCGTTTAGAATCTAAAACAACTAAATTTATAGTACGCATCCACATAGGAGATTTTATAAGTATTCCGCAATAATTAGAATAAATTATTATATAAATTAATTAGAATAAAAGGAGACGTAGGACAGAACGGGACGATGAGGCGAAACGGGGACGTATTAATGCCTATTAATGTCTTACATTAGTTTGAAAACACGATAATATGTATGATTTAATGATATCACGTGTTAAAAATTGCATGTTTGAACAGGTATAAATTATTTTGTCAGCAGCGAATGTTAATGGCAGTTAACTAAATAAATTAAATTAAAACAATACTTTTTTTTTTTTTTTTTGAAATTAATTTTTAAACTTGACTTTAATTTCTAAACCGTATGACTTGTACAGTTGTATACACCATTCGTATTTTTACAAATGTCCTAATAATTTTGTCCGACAGAGTGTTTAACGCCATTACACGACATAGGCGTTTGCATCAACATCAAAGGTTGCCCGTTGCTATTGTCGTTGTTCGAAAACGAGAGGGATAACGAATCAGTTGTATTGTTCCTAAAGAAATCATTTTGCGGACACGAAAACAGATTTCCTAAAGTATGTTGTCCGCTGGAAAACGACGATATTTTTATCCGAACTTTGGTAGACGATATTCTGGACACGCCTGCAGTATTCTCACTAAGTCGAGAAAATTCAACGTCGTCGGAGTATAACAGAACTGCATCAGTTTCGCCTGTAAAATTGCCGTCGTCTGACCAATGCGGACGATCCAATGTCACTTTATCCCGAATTAAAGGCGGAATCAACGCCGAACTGGGTACTTAACAGAATTATATAAATATAGGTACATTTTAAAATATCTAGATAAAGATTCTAGAATATAGACTAAGACAAGAGATACGTAATGATTTAATTATTTAGATAAAGATAAATTTGTGAATTGACACAAATCAAAGCAAATTTATATCTAGATAAAAAAAAAGAAAAACGTAGAAAATATTGTTAATTACCTATCATAAAACGAAGTGCTAAAATTAGTAAAAGTGTTCCATAATTAGTACACATTGAAATTTCAAAACAGTTATCTAAACCAGTGATTCTCAACCTTTTTTTTTTATGACGACACCTTAATTTAGATTCAAAAAAATGACGACATACGTTAAAACAATTAATGATTTTAAAATGACACATACAATGATCACAACACGGTAATCACGACTGAGGACATGCTTACGTACAAACAAACAACGTTTCACACCACGTTTCACACCGGTTGAGAACCACTGGTCTAAACAATTAACTTATTAAACCATACGAATACGAATAAAATATTTAATCTATTATATCTCATTTATCTAAATAATGAAAAATAAAAAAATATACGGTGAAACACAACACTAGCTTAAACAATTTTAGGACATTTTGTATTTACCTTTATGAAATTATTGTTCGTGCGGTTTTAGTAAAACGCGAAATAAAAACATTGTTAATATTACTGCAGCGCATCATAATATTGAATAAACAGTTTAAAATTTCTATACAGGAGCTTTGCCCTGGATGGCGGCCCTCGGATATCGATTTCTAAGGCAGCCCAATCATATCATGTGGAAATGCGGCGGCGCTTTGATAACGGATAGACACGTGTTGACAGCTGCCCATTGCATTGAACCTACACTGTAAGTTTACTGGCTGTTAATTTTTCAAGACAGGTACTTATAATCTACAGTATCTATTAATATTTTACGAACGAATAGTTTTACTTTTTTTATTTATCACCCTGAGGCGGTCTAGTACACTGCAATGTTTTAGATATTACAACACATAGGTATAATCCTGTCCATGGGAGCCCACGGAGATTCGGGGACGCGAATAGCGCACTGTCTCCAATCCCTTAAAAATAGTATGAATGAATAATTTTGTTAAATTTAAACTTAAACCTTCATTAAGCATATATTTTGAGAATTTTTATATTCTGAGCGGAGCGAGGAATGTATTAGTTTTATAATGATTTTTATTTATTTTTTTTTCCGCGAGCAACTTTTTTATAAGTAATTTTGCTCCGATTTACGAGTGTAGCACATTTTTTGACCGGGATGGTACTTTACGGAGGTGTTTTTACTGATTTCCCCGGGGGTTTTCATAATAAATGGGAAAAAACGTAAGAAAAACGGGAAAATGTATAAAATGTATTAATTTCAAATCGTAAATGGCCTTTTGAAACATGTAAAACCGAATTCCGCCCAGTATCGTTTTTCCCCTCTACCTTTCCAACTTCGCATCTTTTACAGTGGCTCACCCACCGTGCGAAATATGTTCGTTTTTTTGTCCTTCCCCTTGAAATTTCACTAGTGGCCACCCACGGTCCTTTTCGCTAAGAATTTAGACGTTCCTTATTATATATAACTAACTAGGTAGATAACAATATGGATTACATTGAACGTATTCGAATTTTGCAATTTTCAGAGTTATCGTACGTTTGGGTGATTTGGATTTGAATCCGAGTATGAACGACGGAGCCGAACCAATCAGTGTTGCGATTGAGCAGATTACGCAACACGAACATTACAGCAAAAACGATATCACCAATAATGACATCGCGTTATTAAAATTGACCAATAGTATTAGTTTTAGCAGTAAGTTTATATTAATAAATTTGGGTATGTTAAAGTATACACTGTACATTATACAGTAAAATGTGTTAATTTGCAATCACCAGTCGATAACTGTAGTTCATGCGAATATTTTATTGCGGTTTTTTTTTTTTTTAATTTACAATTTATGATTAATATTATGGCTTGCCGTTTAATACCATAGGAAAATAAAAAATTTCAAAACCTTAAAACTCGTTTACATTTGCAAACATTTTACCACACTTTTTTATAGATAGTCAACCCAATTACGTTCCCGTGCACAAAATAACGAAATAATAATATAGTTTGCGAACTAAAATATATTGATGTATATTATTGCAACTATATTGCTCTCGTTCGTTTAATCAATTCTAAATAAAAATTTCAAAAATAGTTTTAGTTTTTTTTTAAAAATATAATATAATACAAATTAACTCTTTACAACTGCTATTTTCAAATAATTTTAAAGTCAGTGCTTTTTTAAATCGTGGCCATACGTCGGTTCTTTGGTTTTACTAAACTATTATGAAATATTATGTACTGAATTTACAGAAATTCGATACACTGTTCCAACGATTTTATTACAATTTATGTTTTTTAAATAACTAAATTCCAACCTCTCATTACAAATGTATTGTATTTGTATATTTTAATAATTTATTTCGGACTCATTGTACAAACGAAAGCAGTTGGGTTCCATCGCATTTACCAATATTAGAGACGGTCCATAATATTATTTCAAAACTTAAAAATACATTTTATATACTTTAAGTGTTTTTTAATAATATTTTATTTGATCCAAATGCTTTCATAACTATAAATTGATTATACCTATACACTCGTATTGTAAAACATATAATTAAAATTATATATTTAATATTTATTTTTTTATTTTTTTTTGTTTCAGAATTCATTCAACCTATTTGTTTGCCAATAATGCCGGAAATAAGATCTAAAATGTTGGTAAACTTAGTACCATTTGTTGCTGGTTGGGGTGTCACGTCGTATCGTAAGTGTATTATAATTATATAATAAGCTTTAAATTTTGTTTAAACATTTTATAATCCATGTGTAAAGACTGATTAAAAAAAAAATAAAGAGGTGATACTGGGGACGGGTGTTCTAGGTGGGTAGTAAGGAAGGTGGGATACATAAAGTTATTTAATTTATACCTGTACCCAACGATAAACCATTGCTAATGAAAAACGATTTGGACTAACTTCTGTTAGATTATACTTTTTTTTGAAAGGCCGTAATATTTACGATTTTCGTCAAAATTTGATTTTAAAACTTTGTAAAAAAAACACAGTTCATAAAATTCAGTTTTTTTTTTGTGACCACTAAGTGTGACTTATAATAAACCTCCTGTTAAATTTTCAAGTATTTCTGTTTAGTCTAAAAATGTTATCCGCGAGGTTTCCACCCAATAAATTTGCATAAAAAAAACTCGTGAAATTAAAATACATATAGATGGCTTGAAATGGCTAAAAATGTTTGAATAATTGTCCAAATTTCAAGTCTTTATAAATATTTTTAATAAAATAACTGTAAAAAACAAAATTTAAAATAATAAAAGCATTAATTTCGTAAATTTACCCGAAATTTGTACGTATTTTTCGGATTTCGTCAATTATTAAAAATTCAACAAAATAGGTCACATGTTGTTTTTATGTTGTATAAACCATAAGCTATAAAAATTTAAAATACTGAAACTATTTGGTCATAATTTTTAAAAAATCGTATTTTTAGCTTTTTTGATTTTCGCAAAAAAAAAAAATAGATATTGAAAATATGACTTCCTCTGTCAGTGGATATATGTTAAAAGGAACAAAATCGATCTCTCGTTATTCTTCGTTTGGAACAATACTTCTGGTAGAAAACATAAGTTGCAAAAATTAAAAACAATGAAACCGGTAACGCTGCGGTGTGCCGTAGATATTTGTCGTTTTACCTATAATTTTCTTTCAGGTTTTCCCCAATTATTTTGAGAGCCCCTTAGAAAATCAAAAAATAACCTCTTCAATGCGCTAACTAGGTAAAATTAATTTTCAGATAGGTTGCACATGATACTTGGGAGCAAGTTTTCTGGTAGAAATATCCTGGTGGACCACTGTTGTAGATGAAAAGTTGGGAAGGTAGAGGAGTAATGCATTGTATATTTGAATGCAACGATAAACCATTACTAATGAAAAAAACAATTCTGAGTGCAGTTCAGTCGATAGTGATGCTTTGTCAACATTATATATATTGCTGAAAAAGCTACGCTCCGAATCTAAAATAAAATAAAAATTGACGACTATGACTTGAACGGTTTAAGAATATACCCCTAATAGCATCGTCCTTTCCCAGGAACTATTACTGTTTATTAGGTATTTAATTAATACCTATCAGAAACTTCCTGTTCCTGGGGAATATTTTAACCCGGTAATCGACTGTTTTGGTCTAAATTAGTGCCTACCACGAGCTTTCCGTCGGGAAACATTTTGACCTAATAGAGAACTTCTTATTTGTGTTCTCAATTCAATTTACCATACCACTGTTTTCCCATCTATCCTAAGGAACATATGCGATTTCATGTGATTTTCGACACCAGTTAAATAGGTTTCAGTACCAAAACTTAAGCATCGAAATTCACGTGACCCAATGGAACTTGTTTGTTTTGACACAAATCGCTATCTTCTGGTTAAATTTAGACATGGTCTTGTGCGTTTTCAAACGAAATAATTTGGAATTGCTTTCAAAAATCCTATGAAATAGTGTCTCATGAAATCATTTTCCCATTTGTCGAAGTTGTGAGTTTTAGATTCTATTATACATTAATAATTAATAAATCACACAGGCGTAACAATGATTACTATTAACAATAGATATTACAACTTTATGACTCTAGGTGGACCGATAAGTACGGCTTTATTGGAAGTTCAAGTACCCATCCTTGACATCTCAGAATGCAAAAAAGCGTTTTCCAAACACGGGGTTTTGGTCGACGACCATAAAGTGATATGCGCCGGAGAATTGGGAGGCGGAAAAGATTCTTGCCAGGTATACTATAGTCTACAAGTATTGGTAAAATAATTGATACAATATTAACGTAAAATTTTTACGTCCAAAACATCTGTGATGTACGACTGAGTTATTTAAAGTAGGATGGGTATCCAAAAATTCAATCGTGAGCTTTCGTACAGAAACTTCTATTAAATGCTCAATACTGCTATGTTTAAAAAAGGCAAATATAAGTTTTTGCTGAAATTTCAAATTTCTATAAGTATTTTTAACTGAATAATTACAAAATTGAAAATAATCCATTTAGTAAATTTTCCCGTTTTTCCCAAGTTTTTTCCATTTATTATGAAAACTATTTGAAAAATCAATATGACTTTCTTAAAATACCACCTAAATAAAATTTCCTTTAGAAAAAATATTACACTTGAAAATCGGAGTAAGATTTGTGTAGAAAAGTTGTTTACAGATAAAAAAAAAAAAGTTGTCACATATGCTAATTTATTTATTGATTTTTAGGGTGACTCTGGAAGTCCTTTAATGTGGCTGAGCTCCAACCAGTATTATTTGATCGGTTTAGTATCTTTCGGATTTCGTTGTGGCGAAGCGGGTTATCCAGGCGTTTACACCAGAATATCGAATTATATCGAATGGATCGAAGATAAATTGAATAAAAAATAATAGATATTTAGTTAATGTTTACCTGCCTTATGAACGAACTAATGATCTAAGCCTGCAAAAAGGAACAGTTAATATTCGAAAAATAAAAATAAAATGGCTTGAAAGAAACAAATTCGATAATTCGATTTCGCGGTAGATATAAACATCGATGCGAATCGTAAGTTTTAAACACGTGGGTTGTCATATGAAAATCAAAAACCAAAATCGTATTTATATACTCGGGATATCTCAGTAGAAATTCGCAAGTTTTGTGTTAAAATTATAATATTACATATAGCCTTTCTATATTTACCTTTCTTGATTTTGTAACACATGCATTTATATTATTTTTATCATTACATTTTTCATTATTTTAATTATGTGAAATTGTCTCTTGTTTTCTTTCGTAGCTTTTATAAAAAATAAGCAATTCTTGGTCATTAAAGTGAACCAACAGTTTTTAAAAATGTCTTTGTGCATTATCATTACATTTAAACTGATTAAAACTAAATTTCTTTGCTTAAAAAAAACTTTTTCAGCACAAAATTATAATTTATATTATTTGTAATGAGTAATGCCAATGATACAAAACTGTAGATACCTATTTGTATATGAATAATATTTATAAATACATTTGACTCAATACCAAACAACAATCATTAAATACGGAATTGAATTTAAAAAAAATTGAGGTTTGTAAATATTTTATATTAAATAATTATTTATAACCATTCATTAATGAATATAAAACAATATTAAAAATTCAAATATCCTTTAAACATAATTATAATTATTAAAATATAGACAGAAAAGAGTACATTAATTAGGTACCTACATAATACTAAAATCAAACAAATAACAATATAAAATATATTTAATATTTTTAATTTTTTTGCGATTTAGAACTTTTATTGTTTTTCATATGTGTTGATGTTATTTTAAAATTATAAAATAACTCGCACTTTATACATTTTAATGTTATAAGATCAAAATGTGAGCTACAACTTTATTGAAGTTGTAATATAATAAAGAATATAGAATAAAATAAATAAACATATGCATAATAAAATAAAGAAATTCATTTGTGATTCAAAATATCAGATGTACCTACATATTACTCAATGTATGTACCGGAATAGTTTTTTTTTTTTTTATCAACCTCGTAACATGGTTCAAATATTTTTACTATTTTATACATATTATCTCTTTTTTAATGCTTCCATTGCGATCGCTATCCCTCGTTCATAGCTTTACAAAATCATCATAACATAATATAGGTACTGTAACATTTGGTGCAATTATAAGGGATATGTCTTTAGGTAATATTTTTGCATATTATTTTTGTACTCCTTCAAAAAAAAAAAATAATAAAATAATGCAAATATTTTAAATAAATAAACAATTATTTATTTGTTTTTGGGAATATCTTTCTACGGAACAGTTTCAGTAAAATAGCAAAAGATCTCACACAGCTCAAGTACAATAGAATCAGAAACTGAAACTATGGCCGTGACTAGATGTCTCTGTACTTTACGTTTTCCGATAACATATCCAATGATACTGTACATTGTCAAACATACAATCACTTACCCACATAATTTAGCTGTAAAGCAGCTGCGCCAAACAAGATGCCTATCCTATATGCTACTAGGCACTAGTGGCATATAGAATGCCCATCATTTATGCTATTAGGCGCTGGTGGAGGTTATATATTATAATATTTAGTAGAGTATACAGGCTCATTTAAATTTCTCGATACAGTTAAATTTGCCATGAAATAAAATTTTTTTCAAAAAATGACTTATGCAAAACCTTTTGGAATCATAGGATCACTCTAATTACTAAAGTTGAAACGACTATTTACTTTCGATTTTTAAATGGCAACCTATATTGAAAATTTCAAACAAAATGGAATATTAGTTTAAATTAATTTTCGTGTTCAAATTATTGATTTCCATTAACCCGTCAACGGGATATTAAATTTTTAAGTTTAAATAGTGGGGAAGTGCAGTAGAGCACCATTTAAATAGTGTTACAGCGCGCGCGCTATATTTCTTATAATTAATATTTACATTTCGTACATTTTCCCGTTTTTTTCTCATTTGTTGACAAAATTCCTATTATTACGAATAATGTAATTAACGAATAAAAATAATAGTGACTCACGGCAATTCGAGCGACCTGGTGTTGTGGTCCAGTATCGGTGTGGTCGGAGCGCGGCGGACAGTCTTTCTCGTAGGACGCATCTGAATCGACAAAAAAAAATACCAACACAAATATTCAAGAGTAAAACCAATGTATTCCTCGATATACTCAAAATCTAAAAGGAAACAGAAATTATGTACTTACGGGTGCTCGTCAGAAGGCGGCACCAATGGCGGCTACCATCCTGATGGACATTTTTCCATAATTTCATGATTTGTGTTCAAAGTTAATAATTGGAAGTGTATATTATCAATAGGGGGTGGGGCACTAGTGTCACGTACTTGGTATTATGAAATGTGCTCTGAATGAAACGCATTCGGACACAATTGTGAAGGGGGGAAGGGGAGGTGATACAGCGATCGTACATAAAAAAATACATCGTTTACACATAGAAAAAAGAACACAGTAAAATTTAAAATAAATATTTCGTTTTATTTCAGTTATACGGGCTAGGCCATTTTTAACACGCAACATTAAACGTTTGTGATAACAGAAGTCATTACGGGAAAATGAATTGATAAAAATATAAAATTACAATAGCTCAATAATATTGTCTATTATGCGAGCAAATCGTTAGCTTACAGTGCTATTATTAATGTTTGTTTTCGGAAATCATCAACAATGGGATTACGTTTGAAATATTTGAAGGAGTTGGGGGGGGGGGGGAGCAAAGGTTCCCTACGGGTCAGGTCGAGTTCAATAATTTCAAGGGCGCTAATTTGTGTTGAGTCTTTCTATCGCATATTAAACGATTCGTATTTGATAAGCCGCGGTGTTAGCGGCTTACGAACGGCGTACAAATTGTGTTCCGATACGCGCGGTAATATTTTTACCGAAGAAAAGCCGGAAACGGTTAACATTTTGCGGTTCGCGACGTGTTTGCGGCGTGCAGTTGCGATCGTGCAACGACCGTCAATATGTTGTCGATAGCGGCCGAGTGATTATTATGCGGTAGGCAATAATATCGTAATCGCGCCTATCTGTTACAATGGAAACACGATAAAACACGCGAAACAATAACAGTTTTTTTGAGCTTCGCGCAAAAATAATCTGCGCATCGTATCAACGTAAACTTGACCGAAGTTTCGCAATCATTTCGAATATTATAACGTCGCGCGCATTTTTTTCCCGCCCCCCTCCCGTTATCGTCGTCTCTCTATTTTTAAAAGCCCTCCGCGCCGGATAACAACAACAACAACAACAACGCGAACACAGTAATTATCGAACCGCAACAACAATTATCGCGTTTCCGTTTCGTTATCCGAGAACGATCGTCGTAATCGACACGCGGGCCCCGTGCGGACCGAAATGAAAACGGCCGTTTGTTGTGCGTAAACGTTTACATACCCGGGCGCGGCGATTAACTGCCGTGCCGTTTTTCTTTCCCCCAATTTTTTCCTCGCTATTATCGGCTGTATATTATTAACTCGTTATCAATCAACGCGCTGTTTTCGTAAATACCGACCGAATGCTTTATGTATTTTGATTTTCGTCTCCGAACCAATTATCATATTTATAACAACCGGTTTTCGCGTGTTGCGATCGTCGCGCGCCGCCATTAAAACCGCATTAACACCGCTGACGCAAAAAAAAAAAAAAAAAACGTAAGGTAGGGGAAACTCGCGACTTCTCATTCTCGTGGCCGGCGGCTCGCGCTTCTGTAAACACCGACATAATAATAATATCGTTACTTGTGTTGTTATTATTTTTCGTAGCGAACGGGACAGTCCGGTGAAAAACGTCTGCGCTCGCGGTCGTCAGTACGGCGATAGACGTTGCGAAAGTTTTACATTTTTTTTTTTCTCCTATCGAATAACCGATTGTAACCGGTCGCTGATAATAACGGAAAACCGAACGGACGGCCGGAAATCGCATTACCAGGTACACAACCGAATTATTCTTCGCGTTCTTCGCGAATCTATTGTCGCCGCGGCCACGAGCGGGCGTGACGACCGCCACCGTGCCGCGCCCGTCTCCGGGTTACGGACAACACGGCGCGACACCCGGAAAATTTGCGTTCGGCTGCGACGATTTCGCGCCGTTTGTTTAAGTATCTCGGATGTCGGACCGTTGTCTAGCCCGAAGGTAACAACGCTAACGGTCGTGCGACCGCGCGCGACTTTTACCCCTCGAAACTTTAACGATTTCCGAACGACATACCAGTGCCTGTAACCACGTGAAATACCACGGTTTAAAACTATTGGTGTCCCGCGTAGTGATATCGACACGGGAAACCTACGCGGTTCCGCGGATAACCGTGTTCGTATCTCTCAAACATCGATAATGCTCGGTCGATTCGCTGTGACAATGTTTAAACTGATCGCACCGGCGGCTAGGCCCGGCCACTTTTCCGCGTAAACCAACACGATTTTCAAATGAGGTAAATAAATGTGTCAATGAAAAATGTGTGCGTAAAAATAAAATACCGAGTCGCGTTGCGCATTTACGCTGTGATACACCCGATGATGAATTTTTAATTCGGAACCGGTCGTACACGTGCGCTTGTCGTAATACGCATTCGTTAATTGATTTACTTCATTTGTATATGTGTATACATTTTTCATTTACTATATTTATTTACTTTATTATTTTATGAACAATTTTAAAATCGAACATTTTATTAGTATTTTTTCCTATTGAAACATTAATATTGTTTTTTTTTATCCGGCCTGCCCCCAGAAAAACGTATTTCTAGCTACGCCTCTGAACCCCCCCCCCAATGTTGTTCCTGCTATCCGTTACGTCGTCGTACGCCCGTAAGACGGAGAGTGCACAGACGGGCGTCACGTCCCTTCGCAAATCACATACGTTTTGTATGGTTTGGTCCGATATTCAATTAGTTTGGCGCGCGTACCGTAAGGCTCGAGTCGGTGGGTCGGTCAATACAACACGTAACGAGTTTTCAACGCTGAACGGTTCATATACTATTTCGCTTTAACCCCGGGTCTCCCTCCGCCTTTCCCCCCCATCCACTCCCCTTAATCCCTCGTCTGAATGTTTATTTGCCGTCCGGAACAGTTATCAATATTCGCAATAATTATACGGTTTTAATACGAGAACAGACGGTTCCGAATCGTATTTTCTAGATGAAATAATTATTACAAACGCGGTATTATTGTCGAACGGCGTTTTAGTTTAGTTTACGAAAAATACGTACTTAGGCGCCTATAAACACGGCGTCATCTTTATCGTTTTCCTCGTTCGCCCGGCATCTCTGTAATTTTTTTTCTTCGCCTCAGACGAAGACGGGAGGGGGGGGGGAAGATACTTTTGGGTGTTGCGTCTGAAACGTTACGAGAAATTAAACTTACGGCCGTTTTCAGTTCTGCTCTAAATGTTCTTATATAACAATAATACTCGTATCACGGTCTAACGAAAACTTTTGTCCACGAAGATTTTGTGTAAATTGATTCAGTTCATTTTTTTTTTTGTTATTTTCAGAATTTCAAAATTATTTGATAACGGTCCGCGTGTAGATTTTTTTTTCATCAAAATTTATATTAGTCCTTTTGCGAATCTTAGTTTTTAAACATGTGGGCTTTAAACCAAACAATTCCAATATTATTATACCTGACAAAATATCGAAAATCTTTGTAGATCATCGCCGGTATCGTGATATATTTTCAATATGACATACTAACGGTGCAAACGGGCATAAAGATTTCAGTCAAATTAATTTTTTTTATAAAAAAAAATGGTTTTCGTGCTTTCTCTGCGAAATTCCCATCTCGCCCACCAGTCTGGACGGCCGTGAACTCGGATGATGAATAAATTAAGAACCTATTTAAAGTTATGACGATTATTTTTTTTTTTAACGTAAAACTTCGGAAAGAATGTAATGAATTTTGTTTTCATTATCTTTTTTTTTTCTCGACTATTTGAGATTGCTAGGTGTAGAGGTGAAGTGGAAACTAAATTTAAGCTGGGAGATCAAAATTTATCCAGGCCACCCAATAAAATACGCGCCTACCAAACAACGTTTTTCTGGCATTTTAATTTTAACCAATTGCGAAGCCAGGATCTTTATCCTACTCGGCGTGTTGTGTCGTGGGTAATTTCCAATCACTAAAATAGTTACATTATTGCTAAATGAGATAGAAAATGAGAAAGAACGTCTAAGTCTGATAACTAACATTAAGATTTGGTATGGTATTAAATAGTACTTTTTTTTTTTTTTATTCAAACTGTATAAAGTTTTAGTATTTAGTATTTTACTTAACTTATTTTATAATAACATATATTAACTAATGATGAACATATAAAAAAAATTGTGTTTCAAGTGATCAAATTTGTCATATAATAATGTATATTTGTGCTCAATGTGTTTATATAATAATTCTGATATATAAAGTATAATTTACGAAAGGGAACGCGAACGGTGAAAGTAGGTTACTGTCAAGTGTGACAGTTATAGATATTTGATGTAAATTATAATTTACTGTTATTTTATATTAATTCATTATGATAATATAAATCACTCATAATTTAAACCTTAATATATTTTTATTCGTGATATAAATTACCAATCCCTAATCTTCAATCACCATTGGTAACGTTTTTATCAGCGTTTACTTTTCACGATTCAGACTGTATACAAAACTGGTCATAGCCACATTCGAGCGCTAACAGTTCAAGAACGAAGAAGTTTTGTATAACAAATGATAAGTGCTCGCTGCATATCCTATGTATCTTAATTCGTGGTACAACCTAATAATATAAACAAAATAATGTTTAGCACCTTATTAAATATCTTCAAATGGTTGAACTTTTCAAAAATCGAATAAAAAATTATTAATTTTATTAGGTGCAGACTTTTCATGTTGAATAAACTATCGGAATTGAAGCGTAAAACATAATAATATGTTACAATCAGACTTGGGCCAAATTATTGTTAAAAGTATTCAGAAAGGAAGGGAGAATAAACATAGAGTCATTTTATTTGTATCTGTACGTAATGACAGATCATTGTTAACGGAAAACGATTCTGAGCACCGAGCAGAATATAATCAGTCGTATTTTCGTCTTGTTGCCAAGGTAACCGAGACATCAATAAAAATCATACACACGGTTTTTCTTAATTATTCATTCAGAAAACTATATGATCAAAAATGAATAAAAAAAAAATGACCTCCTCAATATATTAAGTAAATAAAAACCGTCACACGAAAGTTCCTATAATAAAATGTTCGATTAGAGCGAGATTTCTGGTCTTGTTCACTGATAGAACAAAAGAAAAAAAAAAAAACCAGACCTTAGCAGAACCAATATACACGCAGTGCTTCGCTCAGTATCTGAAACATTGATAACGGCGATATAAATGTATTTTTTTTTTCATTCGTACGTACTTGAAAATGTTGTGTTGATTGGTCGTGATAATGAAAATCGATAGACTTTGCGATGCGTTACGTTAATTATTGTTATTTTGTGTACGTATTTGACCTAAGCCCCGTGGCCTCTAAAACGTAGGTATAGACGTAGTAAACGTAGGTATACGCAAAACGCATAGATCCAATCCCCTGCCAATATATTATTACTATCTCGATTGCATAGGTACCGTGGCTATCGATAATACAACAATAATAATGTCTAATTTTAGTTTTGCCGAGATGAGCGCGTGTATGTATTTTTATTTTATTTTTTTTTGCGTTATCGCCGTTACACAGACGTGATGGGTCCAGAAACGTTTGTGCAACAACCGATGTCCGAGCGCCGTCGTCGCTCTCGAGGCGTTTAAAACAAAGGATAAAAAAAAAAAAAAAACAGAAAAACAAACGAAACAAAAAACGACCGCGATACAGCAACAGCTACTTCCAGACAGCCCGTCATCGTCGTCGACGTAATTTTGCAACATAATAATATATATATATATATATAGGTACGTGAAAACAAAAAAAACAAAAAAAACAGGAAATACGACCGCGCGACAAGGTAAATACGTATCATTATTATGTTAGTGTAAACCTTGGATCATTGGATTCGGAGCGCGTCGCGTGAGTCACACAACGCGATATAATACAGACCAATAATTGTACTGCACAGGTATTGTTTCGCTCGGAGTCGCAGACACAAGACCCGGCCAGCCAGCGCACCGTCCGAATTCGACGCCGGCCGCGGGATGGACAAATCGTATCTCGTCGCGTGTCTGGCGTTCGTGTTGAGCGCCTCGTCCGCCCAATCCAACGGCAACCGTGAGTACCACGATACACCGCGCACAGCCCGGCGGGGTCGATAGCGGCCGTTATACCGAATATCGGGAGGGTGGGACGTCGGGACGAGAAGATACGACGCGTGCGCCGCGATTAACCGTGGCCGACGAAAAACGATTCTGGGTTCGATAATATTTACGATTTTCGCCGAAACGTTATATTGAAATTCTTATGAAAAAAAAAAAAATCCTACATTACGCTCGACCTTTTTTTTTCTTCCAACCACAAACTACGACACTCACAGGCTTACTTTCAAGCATTTCTGTTCGGTCTAATAAATTTATCCACAAAATACTTACCGAATAAAAATGCCGTAAAAAGCTCATAAATTTCAAATGTCTATAAACAGTTTAAAAGTGGCTAAAATATTTCGAAAATTTTGACATGTCTAGAGCAGGCGAATATAAGTTTTTGTCGACATTCAAGTCTCTGCAAATATTTTAACTTAATAATAACAAAAAACAAAATTGAAAATAATACATTTTTCCTAAGTTTTTCCTGGTTTCCAATTATCATGAAAACCGTTTGGAAAATAAAAAAAGATAACCTTCTTAAAACGACCCAAATAAAAAGATTATTTATTATTCCTTGAAAATCGGAATAATATTCGTGGTAGAAAAGTTGTTTATAGATAAAAAAAAAAAAAAACCAATACATTCCTCGCGCGCTTTGCTCAGAATCTAAAACGTCGGTGATATACCAAAAATGGCCTGAGAAAAGTGCGGCCGAACGTAAAAATGGCCGGATAAAAAGATTTAACTAAAACGTTCAATTATTGTATTGGCCGTATTGTATATGTTCCTCCGGCCATTTTTGGATCTGACCGTAATTGGGTTTTGAAGGGAGGGGATGCTGGAGACCCCCTAACACTCTCCTAGCTACGCCTATGTCACCATGGCTTGGCTTTTGACGAATAATACCTAACATTAATACACATTACATTTTAACCGCTAAGAAATTTTACAATACAATCATGTATTTCGTGTACAGTTCTCGAGCATTTATGTTGAGCCAAAGAAATTTCATCCACTGGAAACTAAATTATCAAATGACAATAAAACGCTCGAAATTTCGATCACGTTTATCGCGTAAAGGGCCTATATAAGTATTTAGTGAACATTTCGAGTCCCCAAGATTATTCTAACCGATCGAATTACAGCGAAAAGAAAAACACGAAAATAACAAAAATCGCTATTGTGTAAATTTCCCCGGGTTTCATATGTTTTCTCAATTACGGAGAAAACTACGAGGGCAATCAAAAAATGACCTTCTAAATGCACACATTTGTTTTTATAAATATGCTACACTTACGATTGGAGCAAGATTTCTGATAATAAATTTGTTTGCAGACAAAAAAAATCACACACATCATATAAAACCAACATACATTCAGAATCTGACAAAAGCTGCTGATAAATGTACAGATATATTGAAATCTGGATATTGCACTAGTGCCATAATTCCGAATTCGATTATATTATGTTTAATAGTTTTTTATTATAAATAAAAAAAAATAAAATAAATTTCAAATGGAATCTTTATACGAGTGTATCGTCGTCAGTCAATCGAATATAATTAGATGATTTCCGGGGCTGTGTCAGACAATAAAAAAAAAAAAAAAAAAAAAAAACCGTTTACGTATTCTTTCAACTTTCTTACTTTTGAGAACCATTTGTTGAAAATGTCACGGGGGTTTAATTCAATAATACATTTCTTGGCAGCCGATTCCACGGTATCCATGATAACCGGTAGTGTGGTGTTCGGATATCGAGAAACGTAGGTCGAGTTTTAACTCGATCTATGTTAACACTCGAATTAGACGATAATTATATTGGTTCTGGTTTTTTTTTTTAAATTTTTTATATAACGTTCGTTGTTACACAGTGTTGAGCTTCCGCGGAACTGCAATTATGTAATTATTAAGCGTACTACAGTTACTACATGTGTAGATGTTTTTAATACATCTACATGTATAAATATTGACCTTGTAAGGTGTTGTTCATTTTCGGACGCGGAATTATAAACAGATAGAGGTAATTAAAATTTCCGTAGAAAACGATTATTACGATAACGCGTGACCGCTTATGATACACGGCGACCATAACCGACAGATTTTCTACATTATTACGAAATTGTTGACAAAACCGCATTTCACGATTTCGATATTGTCGACGAACGCCGCAGTGAAAACCGCGGGTAAAATGATACAGAGATTTACACAATAATATTCTGAAACAGGCTAAAATCGCGGGTACGACTATTCAGTTTTTTTTTTCGTTAACGTCCGTGTAAGCCGTTTTTCCTCGTATTGTCGCGATAAATTAATCGTTTAAAAAACGTCTCGGGTCACCATCACATTAATATTATATTTTACGCGTATAATAGACGCGATCCTATTATAATACACTGGGGAGTCGCGTAAAACGCACAATAACAAAAAGACGCGCCGTAATACAACACTTATGACTCATAAGATTCCACCTCGCGTTTCTGTGCGCGTGTATGCATCGTATTATTTATCGCACCTTAATGTTAATTTTAATTTCGCACATGTATGTTATATTATTGTACACGGTCGTTCCGGCAAACCGTAAACGAACGCGATAAAATCCGCGTACGCTATACCGATTTAATGTTTAGGCGCCCATTATACCAATACTCTGCCCCGCTCCCTATCCCAAGTCAAAGGGCAGTAACCGACACCGACGACGGTTCGAGGAAAAAAAAACAATTTTTCCCGAATCGTCACGTTTTTCTAACTGCTGACCGTGTAATAAACGAAAATACCGCTCTAAAGTAAGCTGATACAAGCAAAATCACAGTAACTATACACGTATTGCAAACAGCCGAGACGGATTTCGATTGATCGGTGGTGACTAGTTTGAAAAAAAAAAAAAACAAAAAAAAACCGACCCGATTAAATCTATTAACCGAAACACCGGGACAGACCTAATCGACATACACACCGACCGGGGATCTCAATCGTCGATTATTGTCTTTTTTTTTTTTTTTCAAAAACTCAATTATTTCACAAGATTTAATGAATTCAGTTTGAATCGTTACCAGTTTATGCACTTACCGTAATGGGTATAGGTATCGAAACGACGTTTCAAACTGCGATACGAACGTCGAATGCCATCGTGATACGGAAACACTTAGGTATATATGGATTTAATTTACAATTAAATTCTATACAATTTTGTAAAAAAAAAAAAAACGTTAAGCACAGATGAATTATGAATTTGATGTGTTTGAATTGTATATGGCAACCAGATATTTTCACTAAGTGGATGTCTACTCTATGAAAAGTATACGCATATCGCGAATGAATTATTTTTGTCAATTTCCCACGAAATGGATAATGATTTTGTGCGCGGTTGAAAACGATTCGTTTTTTTTTTTTTTTTCATACATTTACACCAATAAGTTGGAGTAAATAAACGTATACACCCATTATGTACTTTACCTAACTGCATTTAACTAAATGAAAAAAAAAAACGAACAAATATTTCCTTCAAAACATAGACAAGAAATTAAGGAATTCAAATATGTTATTAAAATGGAAATAAGGCGAACGGTAATGGGTGAATTTTACTTCAGTTTATTGGTATAAAACATTAAAACGTCATATTCGTATCTGTATAAATGGTTTTTCCCCTCAAATTGGGCAGTATGGATTAGTGGACAAGTCCTGTATAATATTATAAGGTGGCCATTAAAAGTTGAAAAATAATGTTCAAATTTTACAAAATTGAAGTACATTTATAAGCCTCTTAAAGAAATGTTGTATATTTTTTTTTTTTACGCATTTTTTAGAATATTAACGTTTTTAAATTTGGTTTGCAGAAGACACATGTTTCACGCCGTCCGATGAGAACGGTATTTGCAAAAACATACAGCGGTGTCCGCCGCTTCTGTCGCTGCTCAACAACCAGAGGAGAACCGAGGCTGAAAAGACTCTCCTGAGAAATTCGTTTTGTGGATATGAAAATAGAGATCCAAAAGTGTGTTGCCCGTTGGAAAACGAATCGGGGTCCAACAATCGTCCGGGGAACAATAATCTGACAAATAAGACCACACAGAAACCGGTAGAGCAGCCGGATTACGAAACCGTATCGTCATCTAAACTGCCGTCGCAGAGTACGTGCGGTAAGACCTCCATTACGCACGAACGGATCGTCGGAGGGATGCCGGCCGAATTAGGTACGATGAAAAAAAAAAAAAACTGTCACGGACCATTCGTGAGGTTTATCTAAATAAAATAACGTGTGTAAACTCTCCCGGATCCCAAAAATGTACGTTACACGCGTAATATTAATCGATACAACTACCGGTAGTCGTAGTCTTGGAAGTTAAGTAACTTGTTTTAACGGTGTAGATTTACGCTTTAGCAATTTCTATTAACTCTGTATTTCGGCCAAAGATTCCGGTGGTTCGGTCACGCCAGACGAAAAGCAGAAACTGCAAGCGCAAATGGAAGTGACGAATCACGGGGAGTTTGGAGAATAGTTTCTATACGATTCTTATAGAATTATAAAGCCAACGGAGAATAAGTTCAGTTTAACGGTTGGTAGTTTCGAGGTAGATCTCGAAGAATTCACGAATCCACATTAGTATAGGTACATTTAATAATAATTTCAAAGACCCTTGTACATTTACAACTAAGTATGCAAAATCATAATGATCATCTCATATAATATCGGTCGGTCTCAGTACAAAAAATTCACCAAAAACTATATATTAAAAATCAATAATCACCGGGGTGAGTTACATTCCCTTCGGAGTTTAGGTAAAACTTAAGCCGAGCCGAGAATTTTTCATACGATCGGGAAAGTATACTACACCGTCCGTTTACGATACACGTTGACATTATTAAAATTATGGTATTCACGTGGTTTTTTTTGTTTTAATGATAAGGTGCCTGGCCCTGGATGGCGGCCCTCGGTTTCCGAGATACAAACGTGCCAAACAAGGATATTCAGTGGCTGTGCGGCGGTGCATTGATATCGGACCGATACGTATTAACGGCCGCTCACTGTACGGTCGGACTTGGCCGTTACAAATTGTAAGTGCGTAACAGCAATATGAATTAAAATAATTATTACCGAAACAAAAAATATTAACAATAAAAAGCCGTTTTCACGCAGACACGTCTCGAAGCCCGTAAAACCGCATAGGAAACTGCGCCCAAATGATCTTTTTAGAAGTGTTTGTATTTATATCCGTTTTTAAACCAGCATCAGAATTCAGCCTAACTCATTCCGAATTTTCGAACCCGGGACTAAGTTCGATCCAGAAAAAATATATCTGCACGGAACTCTGCGGATTACCAAGCAAGGCCGTTTGGTTTTTACGGTCGTGCCGTTATAACAATGAAGATTGCACATATTACTATCATGACGATTCATTGGTTTTTCATTTGCTGATTTCTGTTGTCTGTGTTACGTTAGCTTTAAGAAAAAATACATCCGATTAACGCTGTTATCTTATCAAACGTGAGCTTTGCTCTACTGTTCTGAATCGGTATTTCTGGTAGCAACGATTCATCGTTGCTTTCACTATATAAAGCATAAATCGTACTGTGAGCTAAAAAAAAATATCTTCCCAATTTCCCACCAACAACAATGGTCTAACCATGTGCGGTGTGAACAGTACGTCCGGCTTTTTTTTTTTGATTTGTCATATATTCCTACATCCAGTGTTGGAGAGTATACTTAAGCAAAAGTATTCATTGCAATAATTTTTAAATATTTTTCTGTTTAATTCATATTATATTTTTTATTTTCAAATTAGTAAAAAAAAAAAAAATTATGAAAAATATAATTTGTATTAATGATTTATTTATTACTTATCTACTGGTAGTTTCCAATAGTTTTTATGGAATTTATGAGAAAATATTTTTCAGGAGGCATAGTGAACACCAGTATCGCCGAAGAAGTTTAAAAATACTCGGCCAAACAAGGGAATAATGTATTATAATTGGTATTCTTTGGGTCAAATACATTACATTACTCATTTCTCATCGTGCTATTTGTTACAGTTATATTTTCTACAAATTCTAATAATACTATGTATATTTCCCACCACTAGCATCGCCCACCCACCACCAAAAAATTTGGTCTAGCGGTGAACATCAAGAAACTATAGCACGGGTATACGTTTTATTTATACTGTCTTATAGAGATAAACATTTCTAATGCTTATTTACACAGTCAAGATATTTTTTTCGCGTGACTCAACCAAACTGACAATTTAAATATCTGGTTAAAGGAAACATATGAGTAGTTTATAGAATAATAATTGCAGTCACTTCTTACCTACGTCAAATGATACGGTGTAAAATTACCGATAAAATTAATGTAAAACATAAACATTCTAAACAAAACCAGTCGATTTAGTAGATAAGAAAAATGTTATTTAACAAGTTTAAAGGTGTCTATAAATACTTTTATTAAGTATGTGTATTTAAATTGAAATACTGAGTATTCAAATATGTATTGTAAATACCTTTCAGAATGAGTATCTGTATCTTTACTTGAATACTTTTAAAAAAGTGTCATTAACAAGAGTGACTACGTTGTACACCTACGCTTACTTACTGACGAATCTCGGTTTGTAATTTGTAATTTTGTTTTTTATTTTTTCAGAGAAACCGTGCATTTGGGCGACTTGGACTTAAATCCTAATGTGGCGGACGATGCCGTACCAATAAACGTTCCAATCGCCCGCATTTTGACGCATGAACAGTACAACGCGCGAGAATACACAACCGATATTGCGCTCTTAAAACTTAACCAAAGCGTCCGTTTTAACGGTAAGTTTTATTCCAAAGGGGCTTGTGCCACCCCTGCGTTTTCGATCGAAAATACGTTTCGTGGGAAAACTCCTTTATGAGTTGTAGAATGGTTTGATTACGGTGATTTTTTTGTTCTTTTGGAAACACGAAAACTTCTTACAAACATTGGATTTGGATTTTAAAAATAATCTATATTCTGAAACTCAATAATTTTCTTTTGGTAGCTTTTAGTCAAAGTATAATGCGTCATGTAGCCTATAGAAAGTTTTCTTTTTTCCGACATAAAAAAGTTCACTAAAGTGAGTTTTGAGCAAAAAAATGTTGTGTCAGACTCGTTAATACATAAATTATGTTACGGGTTGTCAGTTGTTGATATTAAGTAAAAAGTCAAGTCGTCAAGTAGACGAAAATAATTGCTTAACGATTTAAAAAAATATTATTACCTACTGGGTACAATATAGTTATATCTATAATTTTGTTTAATATTTAATTTTCATGACACCCATTCCTTGAAAAGATCAATTTCATCAAAGACATCATATTATGTGAACATACCTAGTTTATTCCTCTATTTTTCCGGTAAAAACAGAGTACTATCATATACTAGAGAAATAATATAATATACCCAGTAGACAAGGCCGTATCTGAAAAGGTGTTAGGGTTCAGGGTGCCTCCCGAAGATTTTTTCTCCTGAATAGACACTTATGATACTAAAATACATATTTTACTAATAAATTCATTAATATTACACAGAATGTTAAACTGTTTATAGAATTCATCAAACCCATCTGTCTGCCGATTTTATCGAAGATGAGATCGAGAACTTTGGAAGGAACTGCGCCGTTTGTCGCCGGCTGGGGAGCAACGTCATTCCGTAAGTATGAGAGGAATTTTAACTATTCAAGTTCACTTTACACTGTCATGATCGATATCTCCACTTTTTTTAAAAAAAAAATGTTTTCCTTTTCCCTCTCATCCTTTACGCCCCGTGAAAACCGATTGTAGATTAAAATTGATCTTAACCTCATTATATTATTCTACGATTATATAAGTGTAGCGTAAATATCTAGGCTAATATAATATATTTTCAAATCGTTTTTATCACAACGATAGTAATCAGGGATGGTTCTAGAATTGTTTTATAAGGGGTGATATACGGTTATTTGGCGGTATAAGAAATCGTCACTTAAATTAATTTTTTTCTATGATACTTAACTATATACATACTTGATATATAACCAATCTTCTAGTTAGTACATTTTATTAATTGTATCATTATTATTTTACACATTTAACTTCAAATACAAAATTTATAATAAATAATATAATTTTTTAATGAAAAAAAAAGTTGAAATCCAGACTAAGGGGATGCTTACTAGCTAGTACTCCTTATAAATTCACCCCTGATGATAATAAAAACATGAAAGTTTTAGATCCAACGGTAACTGTTGTTAATCAATAATCAGAGTCGCATACAGCTAAAACGGGCTTGGTAAGACTAGCCAGGCCAAGTGTTCATCGCAAAAAAGGGGCGAGAGAAATATGAAATTTTAATAAAAATGAATAGAAGTAGGTTACTAGAAATAGTGAGAATTATTGTGTGGCTATAGACGCTGAAAAACCTTATTGTTACGGCTCTACTCGTTATAATGATTTGTATCGTTAAAAAAAAAAAAAAATTTACGTGTCAACAGGAGGACCATCCAGCAGCGCTCTGATGGAACTTCAAATACCTGTCATGAATAATACGGAATGTAAACGGATTTTCGCCAGCAAAAAATCCGTTATCGACGAACGAGTGTTGTGCGCTGGAGTCCTGACGGGTGGAAAAGACGCTTGTCAGGTATACCTACTGATTGTCAAACTCGAGACACCAAAGTTATGTATTAATATGATTTTTTTTTTTTTAATCGTTCTTTTCAGGGCGATTCCGGAGGTCCTCTAATGTGGCCCAGCGGTACTCAGTTTTATTTGGTGGGTGTAGTGTCGTTTGGATTCAAATGCGCCGAACCGGGTTACCCGGGCGTGTATACTAGAGTGTCGACTTTTGTCGATTGGATTGCCGAAACAATGAACAGAACTTGAATGCGATTGTATAATATAGAAAAAAAAAATTATTACCTTTAACTATTATTATTACGGTATTAAAAATGTATTTAACTACTTACGGTTCATAAATGAATATAAAATAAACAAAATAATAAAAATAATATTTTGTTTGAGAATTGTAACTGTATAATTTGACGTATTTCTAAAATTACCCATTGATTATATTCTTAAGAAACGAAGGTTAAATATTTTTTTTTTCCATGATAACCATAAGCGTAATCAGGGATAAACTCTTAAAGGAGGTGACAGGGTGTGGTAAAACTAAAAATAGGATAGGTATAAGAAAATGGGGACTTAACCATCCCACCCCTTAATATGTGTTTCTTCTAATATAGATATCAGTATTAATTATTACTTATTAGTTCGTAATATTCAAGATAAAAATATAAAAATAAAAATTATAAAAAGACTGACATACTTCGCACGTGGGTGCCACTGTAGTAGTTGAGAAGTAGGGAAAGTAGGCGAAGGGAAATTTAATGTATATTCATAAGCAACGATAAATCGTTGCTAACGAAAAAAACGATTTTGAGCGGAATACAGTTGATATTGATTGTCAACAATATGTGTGCAATATTATGGAAAAATTACATAGGCGTTGTATATTTTCTTTAATAATATTTGTTTAATATTGTACCTAATTTCCTGTTTTTCCTAAGGTTTTCCCATATTTTTTTAATATCTTGGGAAAACTCTTGGGAAAATCAAAAAATGACCTCGTTATAGTACCTTTCCAGTTAAATTTTCTTTTGGAAAAATTTCTATCACTGTAAATTGGAGCGAAATTGCTGGTAAAAAAGTTGTCCACAGATAAAAAAACCGTAATATTTTACTAATATATTCCTTACATTTTCCCGTTTTTCCCGTTTTCATATTTTATAAGAACTCCTGAGAAAATCGAAAAATGACCTCCTTAAAGCACCTCTTTAGTTTGATTTCCTTTTAGAAAACGTACTACGCTTAAAAATTGAAGTAAGATTTTCGGTAGAAAAGTTGTCCGCAGAAAAAAGTATCGGACGGGTGTGTTAATGTAGGTGGGAAGTTGGGAAGGTAAATTAAATTAAGTTATTTAATTAATATCTGTAAGCAACGATAAACTATTGTTAATGGAAAACATGGACATGTACATGTCCGTAACATTTACGGCTATTTGTCAAAATTTGATTTTAAAATTTTTATAAAAAATATACACTATTTTACATTCCATTTTTATATTATAACCACTAAGTACGACATTTATAGTGAACCTTCTGTTAAATTTTTAAGAATTTCTGTTTAGTCTAACAATTCAATCACATAGTACACACAAAATAAAATTGATGTAAAAAACGATCGAAGTAACGAGTACGTATACGTACATACTCACGGGAGTCACAATTTAAGTTACCTACGAAAAAAATAAATATATAATGAAAAATTGAAATCTGCCCGCACAAAGTTAAACGTTTTAGTATCGATATTTTTTCAACACGTGTTCAAAAGAACTTCTCCTCTCAGAATCGTAATTCGTCAGCAACGATTTACTGTTCCGTGTACGTATAAATCAAATGATTAACGTATTATGATATAATGTATAATATATGTCTATAATATTATATTATAATATATTATAGACATCTTCAAACCGTTCAATAAATAAATGTAAAAGAATACATACAAATGTAATAATTTCAAGTATACAATACTCTATTCTTTAATGATTTCCATATAAATATAACAATACAGGTAAATAAAAAAAAAAACAACATAATAAATGATGTAAGAATATAAACAAATAATAATAGTATTATGAAATCGTAAACAAAATCCTAGTCACAATTGTAAAATTCCGATGTTTTCTTATAGACCCAGAGTTAAATAAAAAATTGTATATTAGCAAAATCTTGCTCTACCGAGTGTTCAATAGTGTTAACTGTGTGTCCACCCATTAAAAAATGCTCCGAATTCCGCTTTAGAAGTATGATTTATATATACTTTATATATAGGAAGTAAATACGAAAATTCGGATTTCGGGTTTGAAAATTTTGGTTTTTGCGATAACAAAAAAAAAAAAATCAATCTTTTTTTTTTCTTTTTGATTTTGCAGATTACCGAGAATAACACAACAATATAAATTCTTTTATAGTTTTATGAGTATCATAGATCGTACACAAATGCCGAATACCCGATTGTTACGGCAGAGAAGACATACCGCTATCAGACGAGTGTCATATACGCAGAGCCGTATTTAGGATATTATATTGGCCGCCAGACTAGCTTATATGGGTCACTTGGAGAACTTTTGATAGGTGGGCCTAAATTTGATGATGATTTTTGTTTTTGTGTTTTTTGGTAATAATTTTTTTTGGCAATAGTTCACTTACGAGTATAATATAGACGGATAGCACGTAACAATAATTATATAAATCACCGCTGTCAGTCAAAACCTCGTATAACGACCGGTCAGGAACCAATGCACAGTAGAAACGACCGGGCAATCGGCCAAAATCTCGATCGTATTTATATTTAGGAAGACCTAGGAGTAACGTGTGGTAAGTGTAAAGATGAGATTCCGTTCGGACCAAAGAAAAAAAAAAAAAAACATGACATATATTTGGACCAATTTGACATTTTTACCATCTAGTATTTATTTTTTTTCTGATTCGAAGGCGATATTTACAGTTCGCCGATTGTACCGCACGGGCTTTTATAACACTACGACAAATACCTACTTAACCGTATCTCGGATATATTATACGAATTTAAAAGGTAATCGAGTAGAGGTTTTCAAAACGAACTTCATCGTCGTGATTCTCGGGCACGGATTTATACGCACTAAAATGTATTAAAATATGTAACAATGTGTCGGGTGGCGCGTAATTTCCTTTGAAATACGCTTCAAATATTATATGCAGTTAAACCATTTTTCTGAGAGAAGCCAGGTATGTATTGGTCTTATTACGGTGCGCGTATTCCTCCCTTTTTTTCTTTTTTTTCTCTCTGTAAACCACTTTCTACAAAAAATCTCGCTCCAATCGAAAAATGACACGAAACATTTTTTGTAATATTTCGGTGCCAGTTGCAACATTAGTAAGATCGGTTTTCCAGTTCCTCCAGTTTTCTTAAACGTTGGAAAAAAAAACTGAAAAAAAAAAAAAAAAAAACCGGCAAGTACGACATCGTTGTATTCAAATTGGTTTTTCGTCGTAGGTCGGTTAAAAATAATTCCAGAGACCGGAAATGTTCGCGGAATTCGTATTGGCCCGTTCTTATCGACACGTTGGCAGTTTGATAAATTCGACGGATTTTATTGGAATTCGTTGGAAAATGTCCACGCGTCCGCGGTGTGGCGGTCGGAAGACGATTGGAAAACCGTCGATTCAAGACGAAAAATATTTCAGGCCGCCGCCGACGCCCGCGCCGCACAACAGTTCGACATTGTCGTTCCGCAGCCCGGTATTCAGCCGCTCCGAACGGAATAATATCGGGTAATAATAATAATAATAATAATAATAATATGTCCCCACCAACCGTCGACCGTCGTACGTACGCGTCCGTCACGTGCGCGAGCGGCGGCTCGTCGTTACTCGCGCTGCACCGTCCGGCGCGTCGCGGTGTATACGGAGTGCCGTCGGAATCTCGCTCGGAATCGCCGCCGTTCGACTACGATAATAATAATAATAATAACAATAACGATAATAACGATAATAGAATCGTCGCGTTCATCGCGGTAATCGCCGTTGAAAACCTCGAAACAGTGTAATTCGCGTTCAGTGTCGTCAGCCAGTCCGATCCGCCGCCGACAGCCGTCACGATAGCATTGACGCGCGGACGGTCGTTGCCATTATTGCACGCGCGGGCGCAACCGTTCCGTTTTGACTCTCCGAGACCGTACGGGTGTGCAACGATAATTCCGGTGCCGACGACGACGACGACGACGACGATGATCGCGGAGATTTTCTATTTCGCGTGTTGCACGGGGTTCGTTTTACTGTTGGCGGTCGTCCGGTCGTGCACGAAACCGAAAAACTATCCTCCAGGTAGGTGGTGATACAACGCCGGGTCGCGGCGCGGCGTTTAGGGGGGGGGGAGGGTCGTGTCCTCTACGGCCCCCCCCCTCCACCATAGACATCAGATTGCCCGTAAATATTAATTTCTTTCGGAAATCCGTACAGGAGCTCAGAGTGTTAATAAATTATAATCACGGCCCGCGTAGATAGTTGCGCCATCGCGTTAATACGCGGTCAGTGGTGGTCACATTGACTGATTGACGTCTGGTCAAAGTGTTGGTTAAAACGTGTTTGCACCAAAAGAATTTCGGCCCTACCCCCCTAGAAGACGAATCGAATCCGCCGCTGTTCGGGTAGGTGTTCATTACGGACCTTCATACCAACGGGTGGGGAGGGGAGGTATCGTAAATTTCCGGGGGCCCGTGCCAAAGGCAGAACCGGATCTAGGAATTCTTATACCCGGGGAAAAAATTTAGAAAGTACGATGATTTTTTTTATTATAGCTCGTTAAAATACGGTTGTTTATATAACGCACTAATTTAGATTCTGAGCAAAACGAGGAGATGATCGATTTGACTACGATGTATACCTATTTCTTTTTTTCTGTGAAGAATTTTTCTACCAAAAGTCTTGCTCCTATCAAAACATGACAAGAGACTGTTTTTTGTTCCATTTTAGCTCTTGTTAGCACTTTAAAAAGGTTTTTTTTTTGAATTTCTCATTAATATTCAAGATAATAAGGAAAAACTGCTTCTTCAGGCTAAAAAAGATTAAACGATTAAAAAAATGGACGTCATTGGCAACCTTTTTATTTAATTTTTGTTATTATTAAGTTTTTATTATTTTATTGTTTTTTAAACAATCGATGTTGTCGTGAAAACACGCACATTGTTGAAAAAACAATATACCTACTATTGACCGAGCTTCTTTCAGAATCGTTTTTCGTTAGCAATGATTGATCGTTGTGTACAGTTATAAATTAAATTCCCCTTTATACCCTACCCTCCCAACTACTCACCTAATACTTACATACTACCCACCGTCCCCTGTATCAGCTCTTTTTTTAAATTTTATTGTCAACAAAATGACTATTAATCGGCTCATAACTCATTTCACATTTCATATCGCATATAGTTCACGTATAGTAATATTGTATATTTTAAGGGGGCGATACACATTTTTCTACGAGGGGGAGGGGTAATATCGCCCTACCCTTCGGAAATAGATTAAATTATTGTATGCACGTGTTCCCGTGCAAGTTTTTTTTTCGTCTTACCTGTCTATCCATAGACGGCGGCGGAATGATTTCGAAATTTTCAATGGATCCTATCCCACGGGCTAATCCAGTCGTAAACGGGCGGTTTTGGGAGAGTTTGTCTACCATATTGAAATCATTTTGTATGTTTTTGTTCAAAAAAAAAAAAAAATAAATAAATATATATTATTTTATCTAAATATACACATGAATCATTTTATAAAACTGGAATAAAACCCGAGTAGTTGGCAGTGTTGTTCGAAAATGATATGGACAAATAATAACCGACCGAAAGCACAATTATTTCTATACCTCTATATTTTTGAAATTTGTGCCATTTCAATACTAAACGCTATTATATTTTATTGTTATATCGCTTTGTCTACACAATATTCTGGTCCACGAGAGAAGAAACTCGCGTCTCGACCAAATTTGTCAGAGTTCACGCAGCCCCACCACCAAATACCTTACTAACTGTAGTACACACGCTGTGACCCGGAATGTTAGGAATGCTAGGAAAACTCTTAGGAAAATCTAAAAATGACCTGCCTAAAGTACCTTCTCAGTCAAGTTTATTTTCAGAAAAATTACTTTCATTATAAATTGAAGCAAAATTGCTAATACAAAAGTGGTTCACAGGAAAAAAAAGGCCATAATACATTTTAACTAATACATACATTTCTTATATTTTCCCGTTTGTCCTCAGTTTTTTTTTTGATTTTTCGCATTTGATGAGAAAACTTCTGAGAAAATCGAAAAAAATGACCTCCTTAGAGTACCTTTCTAGTAAAATTTCCTTTCAGAAAGGTGTTACACTTAAAAATCTGAGCAAGACTTTGTAAAACTATAAGCTTCTTCGCTCCAATCAGAATCTAAAAACGACGCGATTTTCGACGTGCATTGTTATCTTGCTGTTTATTTGTTCGTGGTCAAAATTAACAGTTGACGATTAACCGTGGTAAAAATCCCCTATCTCTCATTTTCACATCACAGACGGTCGGACTCCGGCGACCATTGCCAGTTATCTTTTGCATTTTACATTTTAACAACCACGGCCCAATAAAAACATTTTATACGGGCCTAAAAAACATTTAAAACCATAGGGCTATCGAAGTATAGTCTGAATCCATCAAATGATGTCCCTGTTTTACATTCAATCAATACTGTCAGTTCGATTGATGTGACTATTGAATTTTTAAGTGTCCTCGAATTAACGACGTTTTTTTTATAGTTGATTGAATTACGAATATTACACTATTGTAATAATAATAATAATAATATGAGTATGCCAGGAAAATAACTACCAATTTATCCAAACCATCTACATTATACTATAATAACAGTTCCAATGAAAAATTTTAATGATCTTAAAATTTGAATTTGGCAACAATAACGCGATAACCTTCGTTTACAGACTCTCGGGTAGGTATGATTCAGTGTTAAATCAATTAGCTGTCGATATTATAGCGCTACTTTATAATAATAGCGTTTTTTTTTTTTTAATCACATTTTAATACTTCAATAGCCTATGTACTCATATAATATGATAATAAAAAAGTGCACTGAGAACGATTGTAATCCGATATGTGACGGCAAAATATCCGAATTCCGATGCAGAAACACGGGGAAAACAGTGGCGTATATGGGACGATTGCCCCCCCCCCCACATCAATTAATTTGTGCAAGTATTTGTTACATACATCTGCCATATATATATACACAAAAATTTAATACTGCTAGCAAAGTGTCATCAGACGCAAAAATAAAAATAAAAACACTTCATGGTAAGGTAATTAGCGTAAATATAACCTTGTGTATAATAATTTGATTATCGCCCCCCTCCCTTTAAACTTAAACGCGTTTGGAAATGCCGTGATTTTTACGTGTTTCGTCAACTTACAACGTACTGCATGTTAAAATCCAAATTTATTTCTGCTCGGCCGGTACGCACCGTAGTAAAACCGATGCATTCCTTGCTATGTTCAGGATGTAAATAAAAAGAAAATATTAAAAATTTGACCTTTGACACAGTGCCCCCTCCCCAAGCCTGTATTTTTCAATAAAAATAACTTTATAAAAAAAAAAAAAAAAACGTATTATACCTAAATCGACTATTGCGGACACGTACAAGTGTTTAATTAGGGATATCTACTACCCATATACTGTGAAATATAAAATATGCTCTTTTCTGAAAAATATGACTCAGCCTTACCGTTGCACCCTTCCAACTAAGTCTCTGAAACCGCCCCGCCATCGCAGTCATGACGATCGTGGACTATTGGTGCTTTTACAACGAGTGTAAAATATAAAAATAGTATTTAAGAATAAACAACACGTTAACTCTGATCGCAATCGCCTTAACTCGATGGGGACAATACGGTTCACATCAATCCAAACGACCGAACGGCCACGAGCCATGTTACTCGGAACGCGGTAGCAAAATTGACAGCTGATTAAGGTGGCGACGAAATTCCGTTATTAGACCTGACCAATTGACAATTGTACAGAATATACAATAATGCGATGACTAACGGTATAAAAGGGCGGTTATAAATATGCAGGCATTTGCCTACAGGGCGGCAAAATACCTTAGACCGGTTCCGCGTTACTCATATGTTTTTATTATGTGTTAGTAATTATTATTACCATACATTAATACATTATAAGTAATAATTTATAACGTAGATACATTTTGTATTGCGCATTAAATTATAATCCGTTGTAATAAAATTGTTTTTTTTTTTTTGTGTACAAAAAAAAAATATCGTAGGACCCAAGTGGTGGCCGTTTGTGGGAAACACGTACGAGCTGAAGAAACTGACATCCGCCAAAAATGGCCAATATCTGGCGCTGGAAGAGCTCCGCAAAAAGTACGATTCCGACGTGATCGGATTGAAATTAGGACGCGAATACGTTGTCGCCGTGTTCGGAAACGACCTGCTGAATGAGACGTTTTACAGGGACGAGTTCCAGGGCCGGCCGAATAATTTTTTCATGAGACTCCGGACGATGGGCAAACGCATTGGTGAATATTGTTACAAATAATAACGTGGTGTTTTAGTGCAAAAAAAAACCTAAAAAATAATAAAAAAAAAAAAACGGGAATTAAAAATGGTATTATTTTTAGAGAGTTGAACATTTAAACAATTATTACACTACTCACACCGATATTGAACCAGATATTTTTCCACGGATTTTCTATATAATAAATTACCAAAATGGTTTTGTTCTGAAAAACCTGGCAATACTTAAAAAAAAAAAAAATAAATAAAAATGGTGATACCCAACTGGTTTTGGACAAAATTTTTTGATATCACTATTTAAAATTTTGATTTCTGTTTTATGGTGAGCTACGTTAGAACTATGGTTTTTTTTTTCAAATCTAGGAGAGTTATTGAATAATATTGACTCCATAAAGTTAAATTGATCGAATAATAGTTAACTAGTCAACACGTTAAAAACTATTTAAGCCAAGTCAGAAATTCATTGGAAAATTCAATTAACTTTTAACAAAAGTTAATTGTTTTAAAATAAGAATGATTAATGTTCACTACAAACGAATTGTTTCGGGAATATCAAATTATAACTACATTTTTTAATTCGATACTTGATTACACATTTTATACTCGAGAGATTAAAAATTTAATCTATGTAAATTAAAAGAATTTTTGTTAACTTTACATAATGTAATTTAAATTTAACTCGATGTTTATTTATCAATTATCTGTTATTAAAACGTGAGGCGATTTCTTGGATCAGTTATATTTGAAGTTCTACCATACCGATTTTCGTGGTTTATTTTTTTTTAAACACAAGTGTTCGTTGTGTAGAAAAGCTCTACAAATTAATTAGTTAAATAGTTATAAGTTATCGAAACGATGACAAAACTGTATTTTATACAATATTTGCATTGAGATTTATTGTACGGAAAGTCTTTAGACATAGATTCTATAACTGTATGAGGAACTGGCCAATTTATTTTATTACTTATAATTGATTTGAACCCGTCGGATTCTACACTTTCCTTTTCATTTAAAAGACATCAATTTACGAAACGAATACCATTTGCTATGACAATGGACAAAGCTCAAGGCCAAACGTTGGATAAAGTAAGGTTGTATTTACCCCAACCTGGTCAACTCTATTATGTTGCGTTGTCTCGAGTTAGATCTTTTAAAAAACAGAAAATACAAATAATACTAAACAACAATAGAAATAAAATGAACGTTGTTTATAAGCTAATACTATCGTTTTAATTATTTATTTCTTATGTCTATACATGCACTTATTGACTAACTAATATCTCAATTCATTTAGCTTTTAAAAAAATTAAGTTAAAAGTGAAAATCAACTTAATTTTTAATTTAAATATTAACTTTTTAACTGGTTTATTTTTTTTTTTTTTTTTTATTAAGATATCAAAAACAAAACATTTAATATACATTAAAATTAAATTTGTTACAGAATTGATTAACTTATCTCCTGTAAGCTTATGCAGCTTGTGTTGGAGGTAAAAAGCTATGATTAATACTAAATCTATATATATATAATAAATAAGAAAATAGTGTAAATATATTTCAATTTAAAAAAAAAAAATTAAAATTAAAATTTTAAACACATCTTGAAACAACTCTAAAAATATATAAACTAGCTTATTTTCTAAATAACAATTTTAAAGGCAAATTAATGAATAAAAACAAATCAAAAATATGTGCTATAGGTATATGAAAATTCCATCTTAAGTTATTATCAAATATAACACCTAAGTATCGAATTTTTCCAACTATTTTAATCATTATGCAGTTTTGTGGATTTCAAATTTTATTCTTTGTGCAGTCACGAGTTGTTAAGGTGTTGTAGTTAAAAGATGATTTATTAATAGAGAACGGCATAAAAACAGTTTCATCAACATTTAAAGATAGATTTCTAACATTTAAACTATTTATTATCAGACTGAAACCTCTGCAGGCTTTCTCATGTAGACCATCCCATGATTTATGAGAGAATAGAAGACAGCATAGGTAACTATTTCCCCATCAAAATTAATATCACAAATTTCGTTAACATATAATATAAATAGTATCGGACCCAAAACACTACCTTGTGGTACTCAATTTCTAATTGCATATGTGCTACCATTTATTCCATTGATTTTAACTGCTTGCCTTCTATTATGTAAGTAGCTTTTAAACCAGATTAGGCTCGAATTATTTATTCCGAAACTCGGTAATATATTTAATAAAATTTTATGATTCACCGAATCGAAAGCCTTGGCTAGGCCTGAAAAAATTGCTATTAATTAATTGCTGTTATCTAAACTACTATATAAAAATTGAGCAACTTTATAAAGAGCATTATCAGTGCTTAAACCCGGTCTAAAACCAAACTGGTTTTTTTATAATAATTAATGTTTTTCTAAAAATTCTGTCAGTCTAGCTTTGATAATTTTTTCAAACATTTTTGAAAAATTGTTCAACGTGGATATCGGCCTATAGTTTTTTATACTTGATTTATTACCACCTTTAAATAAGGGTTTAACATCTGCTACTTTTAAGGTTTCAGGAAAAATATTTTGAACAATACTTAAGTTATATAAATAGGCAAGAGGATGCACCAAAAATTTATTAATAAGTTTTAAAATTTTGACGGATACCTTATCCAAACCTGCAGCTGTATCGTCTTTAAGGCTATTAATAATATCAAGTAAGCCCGACGATTCAATTTTTTTTAGAAACACATTATTAAACGAAACGTTTTTATGAACGTGGTTTATATCTGAAGTAATTGGTTTATTTAAACTATTCATTGCGATATTTATAAAGAAATTATTATGATGCATTAGATGCAGTTATTCGATCATTTTTTGCATTTATTTCACAGTCATTATTTTTTAGTTTGATAATATCATTATTAGAACTCAATTTAGAACCGGTAATTTCACTTATTAATTTCCATGTCATTTTTAAATTAGAACTTACATTTCTGAATTTTTGTTCATAAAAATTAAATTTAGTTAGCCTTATAGTTTTTGTGAAGTTATTGACATCACTACCGCCATCATACACTTCAGTCCAGTTTGCATTAGCTAATGTTGATGTAATTAAATTATAATCAGTTTTACTAATCATTTTTTTACTATTAAAAAATTTTACATTAATTGGAATTGACACATAAATTGTACAGTGGTCCGTTATATCAGTAGGTATTACTAAAGCACTTATTTTACTCGTTACGTTTTCATTGCTATAAATAAAAATATGATCTGAACATTAATTATTAAAACTCTCAGATAATCTGGCATAAACATTAATAAAAGAGATGAATCAACTTTCAGATAACATGTTAGGATAATTATTATTATTCTCATTTATGCCAATTGTATTCACATTTATATCACCTTTAATTACTGTTAGAACATTACTAGTTTTTAATCCATCAATTTTCTTCTCTAATGAGTTTATGAAGTTATCACTATCAGAACCGGGAGGCCTATAAATACATATTAAATTAATAGGGACTTTAATATTAGATATATATAGTTTTAAAAAACTAGAATCAACTAAATCAAATTCTTCTAAATTCTACACTTGAGTAATGTTTTGAAAATACCATCACACCGTCATTTCGATTTCTTTTTATGGAAGAAAAATACTGACTATAGCCATCTAATACATAATCACACGATAGAACACAATGCCGAATTTCCGTAAGTACAGTTACATCGATGTCTCTATAATTAACATCATTTTCAAGGAACAAGAGTAGTTCATCAAAGCGTGCGTTAACACTTCTTATGTTGCAACATATTATATTAAGATAGTTCCTATTATCTTCATTATTTATACATACAAATTCGGAGAACGATTCATAGTAATTCGTTCTATAATTCAGATAACCCGTACACACATTTACCATTAAAAAAAAAACAAAATTTTTACACACTTAAAATTATTTACAAAGATTGTTAACAGTAGATACAAATGATTACTATTTAGATTAACTCAGTTAAAGATAGATCGTTATCTATTAATAAAGCTTTTGAAGTTTCATATTTTTTTTTTATGAATACTTTCGAATCTTTAAACCAAACAAACTTGTGACCAGAATCACGGGCAAATGATTTGGTTTTGAGACATAAGTTTCAATGAAATTGTGTTGAGTTGCCGTTAATGTAAATCGCATCATTTCTCCAATTAGAATCGACCTTAATACCTGTTAATTTGGTTTTCCCGGCGGTTTCAATCAGGACTCTTTTGCATTTTTGCATTTGTTAATTCAGCTACGATTTTATTTGGTCTTCTATTGAATTGTTTTGTTTTTTGGTTTTTTTTTTTTTACTCACAATTACGTTCGGTTTCCCCAGGTATTACGATGACAGACGGTGACTCGTGGAAAGTGCATAGGACGTTTGCCGTAAGGCACCTGAAGCTGCTTGGGCTGGGCCAGAGGAGGATGGACGAGCTGATTTGCAATGAGTATGGTCGGATGGTTGAGAAGCTTGTAGGCGGTTGTGTGACGCCCACCCCGTACTTGCAGTCGGCCGTGATGAACGTGCTCTGGGAGCTGACGGCCGGCGAACGGTTCGAGGATCCAGATCTGTTGTTGCTCATGAGCAAACGGGGCGCCGCGTTCGACATGGCCGGCGGACTGCTCAACCAGATACCGTGGGCCAGGTACGTAGCGCCCGTGGCCACCGGTTACTCACTCGTGACCGAAATCAACCGACAACTTTACGCGATGATATCGGTGAGCGTGGATATATATTTAATGACTACATAAATATATACCCTGCGGTGTAAGATGTACAAATTAAGCCACAACCTTTTGTTAATATTTTTATTTTTTTCCGACATTTCGAATTTATGTGTTCATTCGTTAACTATTACCCGAAACCAAAATCTATCACACACGTACTGAGGAAAAATTCATTATAAAAAAAAATGTAAAAAATGTGAATAAAATAGCTATGTTAGGATAATAAGGACGGGTGCAGCCACTGTTGTAGGTAGGCAGTTAGGAAGGTAGGATATAGACGAGAATTTAATGGATATCCGTACGCAACGATTATAACCATTGCTAACGAAAAAACGATTCTGAGCGGAGGTCGGTTGAATTTTTGCTTTGGCAATAATATATACAGGCTGTCCCACGAACATATACCCCTTGAATATCTCTGGAGATAATAAAGATAATCAAATTCTGTTTTTTTTTTATACTACTCACAAGGAAGAGGACTACAAATAATTATATTTTAATTTTTTTTTTTTTAAATAACTTTATTTTATTACTTTCGAAAAATTTTAAGATGGCCATTATGTAAAGATTAATTTTCTGAAAATTTTAATGAATCACACATTTGACGAACGATGAATAGTTTCTAAATAACAGTCATTTTAAATTCTACTAGTCCACGTGAAAACCGATGTTATCACGTAACAAATAATGGCTATCTTAACATTTTTTTTTAATAAAATAAAGTTATTTAAAAAAAAAAAATCAATTCAAATATAATTTTTTGTAGTACTCATCCTTGTGAGTAGTATAAAAAAAAAATAAATAAAATTTGATTATCTTTATTATCTCCGGAGATATTCAATATTTGTTTAATATTGTACTTGTTTTCCTGGGTTTCCCATGTTTTTTTTCCCATTTATTGAGAAAACTCCTGGGAAAATCAAAAAATGACCTCCCCAGTCAGATTTTATTTTAGAAAAAGGACTATCATTGTAAATCGAATCAAAATTGCTGACAGAAAAATTGTCTACAGATAAAGAAAAAAAACTACATATATATGTATGTTATTGTAAAACCAATACAATCCTCGCTCCACTCAGAATCTAAAATGGTGAACATAATTTATACAATTTTTTTCTTCGGAAAAAGCCATCGAAATGAGCCAAGTCATCTCGAACATTGAATCATAACAGGCCATTAACTTTTGGTGATCGGATCAAGTGGAAGTTTAGGACGCAGATAGCCGTACGTATTTTTAAACGTTCGAGACGGAATTAATAATCCAAGGAGGAAGACAGTTTACCCGTCTTGTCCTGTCCCCAACAATGGCTTTGACTCTGAGTATATACACGTATACATATTTAATAATAATAATAATAATATATTATTGTGCAGAATAACATATCGGAGCACAAAAAGACGTTGACGGATACCCCCAGAGATTTTATGGACGCGTATTTACATCGAATGAATCAAGAAGTTAATAACAATAAATCCGATACTATGTTCACAGGTCAGAATAGTTAATATTAAATATTATTCATTAAACATTTTTGACCGAATAAAAATAAGCGTATTTAAAACGTACAAAAAAAAAAAAAAAAAATTGTCAAATAGGTACCAGCTAACTGGACGGAATTTATACATAATTTGTAGTATCCGTCATATAAACGTTATGCATAACAAATTTGTGTTGAACAGAATCAAGTTTGAACTATTCGTTTTAATATTACAGTGAATTGACCTATTATCAAACTTAAAGTTGAAAACTAGTAGATTGTCTACATTTTGAAGTATCACAATTTAAAAATACTTATAATTTTCGCTTAAAAATTAAAACATCGGAAAAAAATCAATACATAAACGCATATAATGTTCTTACCTACCTTTAAGTGTAGGTAGTTCACTCCAATATTAAAACTAAAATCACACAATTGATTCTACTAAATGCGAATTTATAATATGTCGTATGTATAACACAGACAACAAATTTCCTCTACATTTTGTTACGTTAAGAATTTTCAAAAAAAATATATTTTTTAAATTTTTTATGTATAGAAGAACAACTGATAGCCGTGTGTTTAGACCTGTTTATCGCCGGGTCCACGACGACCAGCAGCACTTTGGATTTTGCCATACTGGCCATGGCTCGGTGGCCCGACGTCCAGGCCAAAGTCCGGCTTACCCTAGACGAGATCCAACCGCCGGGCACGTATATAACGGCTGAACAAATTTTAAAGTAAATCGAAATCACGGATGATGCGAAACGGGGGCGGTAGAAAAGGGGAATGATACAGGCGACGTATCCCCCCTCCTATTAGGCCAATTTTTTAAATTTCTATAAGAGTACATTGAATGATTTTTTTTCAGCTTGCTCAATGCTCACTCCATTTGTATGGTTAAATAATGCACACATTTAAATTCTGACATTTGGAATTTTTAAGCATAGTGAAAAACGATATTTTCGAATACTTAATTTTTCGCAACACTTAAGGAGTATCATGTAACAATATCGACTTTTTTTTTATAGATTTTTCTAATGAGGACCTACATGTTTATTATAAATTATCAGTCAGATGTTTTGTCTGGAAATGTTCACGTATTTTAAACGAAATGTGAACGAAAAAAATTTGAATTATTCTAACACTAAAGAATAATAACTGCGCGATCTAAAATAGGAATTTATCTGTACAAATGAAACAGTCGATGTCCAATCCCCATGAAATACTATTATTATTAGTAATTAATGCAGAATAACTCAAAAATATTTCCTTCAAATTTCGATTACAGTACGTTAACATTATAAAAAAAAAAATCATTAATTTTCATCAAAACAAGTAGGTTCTCATTTGATAGGCCAATGTTGTTATCACTATAGTGTATTGCTTAAGATTACTCGACAAAATTTTATGTTGTGAAATATCTGAGTATGCAAAAATATCGTTGTTCACTGCGTATAAAATTTCTAAAAGGCAACATTTGAATGTTTAAAAAATCACCATGTATTTTATATAATATATTCATATGTATGAAAAAAAATTATGTAAAAAAATAAATATTCTTGACAAATTATCCTCATCCCCCCAAATGACTAAATCATTCGACCGCCACTAGTGCGAAATCAATTATAACCATTAAAAAAAATTTAAAAAAAAAAATCTGTTTTAACATAGAAACCGATACGTGGAAGCTGTGTTGTTGGAAACGAAGAGACTCAATCACGTCACGCCGGTTATAGGCCCCAGACGCGTCTTAAAGAATACTAACCTAAAAGGATTTAGCATACCAAAGGTATACGATGTACTTACTTTTGTTCTTATCGATTAGTTTGTGATTCTTATCATAATTTTAAAACCAAATGACGGTACGCTGGTATTGTGGAAATAACAGCTCTATTATACAGTTATTTACATTCCCGAGCGAAAAAAAGCAATTCATTCCCATTCATCATTTTCTATTTTCATAATAAAAGCAATCCTCATTTACATTCATCAAAATTTGGTATGTTTTCCAAAAATATATTTCATACAGAATATTATAAATAATAATAAAAAAAAAAAAACGTATTGCGTTCAATTTTTTGTAATTATCGTTACTTTATCGCGTTCACTATTCTTTATAAATAAAAGGAATTACATTCATAAACGCATTCCTCTAAAAAAAAATTACAATAAATGTACGCATTCTTGTGAATGCATTCTTTCGAAACTTTAAGATTTTAATATTTTACGACATTTTGCTTTGTAGAACACAACAATTTTGATGAGTCTGTACTCAGTTCACTTGGACCAGTCAACGTGGGGCGATCCCGAGGTGTTTCGTCCAGAGAGATTTATCGACAAAGACGGAAAACTGATCTCGGCCGAAAACATGCACTTTTTCGGAGGCGGTAAACGATAGAAATATTACAATATAATCAGTACACATGACAAAATACGATAGTTTCATTTTTTTTTTTTTTTCTATAGGTAAACGGCGGTGTCCGGGCGAAACACTGGCCCAGCGGTTCGTCACCTTGATGTTCGCAAACTTATTGCACGATTTCGTTATCGAAATAGATCAGTTTCCCGACGGCCTAAACAGCGGCATACTCCTGTCGACGAAACCTTACAAAATCAAAATGACCAAAAGAAAACGAATCTAATATAATATACCTGATATGATAAAGGAGTTTTTTTTTTAGTATATATTTATTTATTACCAACGTTTTTATCGACTTTTCCCTGAAAATGGAGACTGTTTCCCCGTATTTTATCTGTTATAATATATTTTTTCCCCTCTGCTTTTGGACATTTTTGGCGGCTCTCTCTGGACCAAATTAACTCAAACTCGGGTATTGAAGTTGTTTGTTATAGATGGATTTAAGTGATAAAAGTTGGGTTGAATACGGATTTCATAATGTTGTAGCTGGGAGGTGTGTGCTTTAACTTTGAAAATCCTTCCAGACCCGCCAAATTCAGGCCAATGAGTTGGATATTTTGTATATGCATGGCGTTAGTATTATGGAAGTACTTTTTAGGGGTTTTAACTTTCTACCTACACCCCACACATAACTCTCTATCTCTCTCTCTCTCTTTCCTTAGCTTGTCTATCCATTACGATTTATTGTTGTTAATGTATTTCTTCCTGTAATATGCCACGTCCAAACTTGTATTTTATTCAATATCTTCTATACCTTGGGCAACAACGTCCATCCAGCGGATGTTAGGTCTTCCTATCGGTCAGCTTTTGTTAATTGTGTTAAACAAAACTTGTTTTATTAATTCACCGTCCTCTCTCCAAACATGTCCGAACCATTCTAGACGTTGGCATTATATAAACGATAGAATATTTGGCCTGTTATATAGCCTCTGCGAGACTTTTTCTTCTTTCGTACGTCTGAAATTGTATTATAGCTTGGGTTATATATAACTCTTAGTACTTTCTTTTCGAAGGTAATTATTCGTCCGCCGTTTCCTTTGGTCAGTGATCAGGTTTCGATCACATATGTTACTATTGGTCTCAGATAACTATAATAAAGAAATACTTTCGAATTTTATGTGAGTGCCTTTGGCTTTAGTAAATTCGTAATGCTGTGGTAACACCGGTTACCACAAGATATTCTTTCATTATTTTTTTCGTGTTATCGCTGTTTATATTGACACCTAGGTATATATCACCACTTTTCCAAACCAATATTTATCAACTGTTATATATTTTATCTTTGTAATTTTTTTTGCGACTGTTAAATATTTACTTTTATCTTAACTCACACGTAAACCAATGGGGCTTTACTAACCCTAGAAGTTTGGAAATTTGTATAACGGCACGGAAAAAATTTGGTGCTAATTGGGGCGACTACAGAATAAATATCATAGACAAAAATGTAAACTCGGCACCTATTAGAATTTGTCTCATTTCGTGTTATTTCTGAAAGTGTTCTACCTAATACGATTAATTTCCATGGATAGACAAACACTTAACTACTTTACATGTATAAGTATAGTTGAGTTAAAAATAATTTAAATGACAAGTATGCTTCATTGTATTTTTTGAAAAATAACACTTGTAGTTTTAAATCGATTTTGATCAATATTTAGTTAGAAAAGTTTATGTGCAGTCAGTAAACAGTTTCAATCAACAAAATTTATATGGTACCTTTTATATATTTGTGCGTTTATTATTATTAGTTTCGTCCATGTTCATTTTTTTGTTTTTCAATATCTTCAAGATTGTTATATTTTCAAAATATTTTGAAATTTGTTTTTTTTTTCAAAATAATAATAATTTAAACACATTAATATTATATTATTTATATTAATATGCATTCTTAACGGTGCTTTTGGTATAATTTAAACTGGGCTTTAAAATGTACATCATTAACACAGCAGCCATACCGCTGTACAACTTACAATTATAACTTTATTAATAATTTTAGAGGGGTTATAAGTGATTTAGAGGGGATAAAGCCCCGTATCTCCCCAATGTCCACCTACTGAGTGATAGACTCGTATACATACTTCATTACAGATTTCTTTCCGTCATTAAAAATTCTCCAGATGGTTCCACAACTTCATTCCTACGAATTCTAAAATACTGAAGATCATTGGTTTTTAACTCCCCACAATGTTCTCTGGAATACGGTCCCGGCGATTTAAATATAGTTGATTATATTTTTCATCCGTACGCATGTGCAATATATTTTGTTTGCATTTTTCTAATAAATTGAATACAATTTTAATGTATAAATAGGATTTGTTTTTTTTTTTTTTTCTTAGTGTAGGAGGAGGATAAACTCCCTCCCTTCTCTATTTTGCGCCGACGGTGACGATTCTGGTGAAAAATCACGGGAATTTCTCCGTGTAAACATTGGGCGACAAAGAAAACAATAATAAAAAGAAATAAACCCGAAATATTAATACGAAACGCCGCGAACACGCGGATACAGTAGTATACCGCACACGCTCATCGCGCGTGTAATATTATTTTTATTGTGTACGCGGTGCGTACACAATACAACATAATACACACCCCTCGGCGTGTGTGTATTATTGTACGCACACCCCGAAAACGCGTACGAAACCGATTCTCGTCGGAAATCTGTACGGCCTGGTGCGTGTGTACACACGTAAGTACATAATAAAGGTCGTCACGTGTACTTACACGCGTCACGTCCCAATGCGTACAGGGAAATCGAAAACACTCGAAACGATAATAAGAATAATAATAAAGCCACACGCGAACGGGACGGGCCCGTAGTCGCAAATGCGGCGCGCACCGTGAATAATAATATCGTATTGTATATTATATTAAATTCTACGGGGTGATTCTTTTATCGCGGTCCGGCGGTTTTCACGGAGTATTTCCAGTAAATTCGATTTAAAATTCGTTTTCGGCCATAACAACGCGCACGCGGTCGCTTTAGCCTTATTTCAGCACACCGTTTTCAAAACGCTTCATACCCGTACACTCCTCGGGTACAGATAAGTAATGAAATGAAACTTTCGGTTTTCAAACGGTGTGTTTCTGAGGACGGCCCACTTGAAATAATTAAAACTTTAATTAATTAATTAAATTAAAAAATTTGTTTTGAATTCAAGTATATATTAAACACTATTAATTAAACTAACAATTTGTATCTATTTCCGCCGCATTAATGACCTTAAGAAATTAATATAAAACTATAATTTCATAATTTTAAAATATCAATTACTCCGTTGCACCAACGAAGTTGGATATCAATTTCTATGCACGGACAAATATTTTATCGTAAATCCAAGTACTTTTGTTTATATACTCTATAAATAACATTTTATTATCAATTTGACGAAACTGGAATGATTCGACTATGTTTTGTTTTCGTTAATTTGAAATAAGTCTATAAAAATTCATTATAAACTAATGGTTTTAATGAAACTCGTAATCAATCGAAGCAAACTCAAATATCAACAAATGTAACGGAAATGTCGATTTTAAGAATTGTTTTCTTCACACAGTAACGCCCGTATTGCAACAGAGCCGGTATCGTGAACGAATATTTTTCGAAAAATTTCAATATTACATTATGCCTAATGCGAAGTTTACGAGTTATATAACTCGTGTATATTGGATAATATCCGTGAACTCCGTGTACCAATTACGATGTACGGCTCGGCTATTATTATTAATGTAATTCGCCGTAGTTAACGGTTTGTATTTGATTTGGCCGAAATGAATGAATAGATAACTGCAGTTTAGAATCTACCAGACCGGCGGGGTAATGAAAGACAAAAACTAAATAGATATAAACGGTTATGGATCGCGATAGGAGAACCATTGTGCGTATACAGGACGACGACACGTTTGTTCGATGGCCGGGCGTTTTCCCGGTGGTCCGTATGCCAGTATTTTTATGAGTTTTGGTTGTGCCGCGTGCGTGTGTATTTTGTTTTTTTAGTTTTTGGTTGTTGTACATAACAAGCTTTCGACCAAAATACTCGCTCTAATTGACAACATGCTAACATTCTCTCTCAGAAATTCGGTCTCAGTCGATTCCTGTGACTGTCCGAGAAAATCGTATACTATTCGATAACAATATGATAAATAATAATAAATCGATTGTGTTTTTACCGAGTTTTAACACGAAATTTTAATAAAACTAAATTGCGAAATTGTCATCCGTGTGAAAAAAAAAAAATAATATAACAAAAATTACAATTACGAATATTTTGAAAACAATTTAAAACCGCGTTTACAATGTGCTAATATTGCATTGAGTAATGCAAAATAATCAATGACGACATACTGAATTGTTGTAAACAAATCGTTTATAATCTATTTACTTAGTAATGTATCAATAAATCTACAATTACACTATCATTAGAATTATAACAGCCGTATTGAAAATTCGTTGTAATTTATGCGGATTGATCAAGGTGAATTGATACCAGTTGGGGAAAATACACATACCAAGGCACCAAGCCAGTCCACTCCTAGAACACATCATATCTTTTTTTTTTTAGTCTCTGAGCTGAACGAGAGTGTGTTGAATTTACTTGATGACGATACTGTGTGCTTTTTTTTCACGCGTTTATATAGAATTCCGAATTCGTTTCACCGAAGGCTTGTATTTTTTTTTTTCTAGGAAGTTGGGAATGTAGGATATGGACGGGAATTCAATGTGTATCAATACGCGACGATTATAACCGTTGCTAACGAAAACACGATTCTGACCAGAGTTCGGTTGACAGTATCGCTTTTTCAACAATATATATGCTATGTCATACTACGGACAAATATGCGATAAACGTTTTCTTTAACGATATTTATTGAATATTGCACCTATTTTCCCGTTTTCCCTCAGCTTTTTTCCGCTTCATTGGGAAAACTCCCGGGAAAATCGAAAACTGATAAACTTGTGATGTGCCACCCCAGTCAGATTTCTTTTGGGCAAAAGTCCTTCCGGTATATCACTCGCTCCGCTCAGAATCTAAAATCGGTTTGCTTATCGTTTGCACGCACGCGCGTCCGCGGATTTTAAATTTGAATAGCATTTTTTTTTTTTTTTTTTCCCCGTTGCGGTATCGGTAACTTTTCAACGCCTTTTCTGTACGTTTACAGAGTGCGCCATTTCCCCGGGCCCGCGTTAATAATTGCGGACGGGCGGAGTCGCGGGCCCCGCCGTCGCGACATTAACAATTCGACGACGACAAGAGACAGCGTACTATACGATATTATCACTGTTGTTGTTGTTGTTGTTATTGTTCGCGCGCCTGACGTTCACCGCGGATTTTCCGCCCGGCCGGTCCGCCGACGGGGTTTTCGCCACCGCATCAAACCGCGGTGTCGACATTCGCCGATATTCGTTTTGTTATCATTTTCAATTATGTTCTCGTCGGACGACGCGCCGTTATTGTCACCCGGCGATGGGACGCGGACCGTACCGCACGACAACACGACAACGACGACTTTGTAAACGGCCGACGCGCCGCCGCGCCTAAATGCACCGAAATCGCGTGCGCGCGTTTTTACCGGCGACGGTCGAACGGGTCTCGCGGGGCGCGCGTACGCACGCGGAAGTTTCCCCGCGTGCACGCGCGCGGCAATTGCCGTTTATTCGCGTGCGTCGAACGGCGGAAAGTTTTCGACGGTTCCCGCGGAGAAATAAAGATGATAAATAATCCGCTCGCCGTGTGCGCGACCGCGTTTACCTACGGGGCGCGACGACGACGACGACGACGATAATAATAATAATAACAACGACAATGCACGAGCGCCGATAATTGTCATTGTTGTCGGACCGACCGGTTTTTGTTCGGATGCCGCGCGGCGCCGTTCTATTATTCGATATTGTTGTGGTGCCGCGCCGCGGCGTTTCGGAACCGTTCAAAAGCGGTGCCGCCGAAACGCGTAGTAAACCCTTCCGATCGCCGCGTAACACGTACGCGGTACACGATATATTGTCACAACAGCATGCCGGGAAACTCGGCCGCGGCGATTCGAGTCCCGCGCGCGGCCGACGGGGGCAATTAATTTTATTATCGCGCGTACACTCGCCCGTGTGTGGGCGCCGAGAGCGGGACGCCAAAGGCGGAGCGTATTGCACACACGCGCACACGCACACACACACGCACACGCACACACACACGCCCACCCGCGGGCTTTTTGGAAGGACCGTATAGAATTATAGCTTTTTGAGAAACCCGAACGGAGCCGGCAACGTGTTACGACGGTGTTTATTTATTTTGTATTTGTTCCCGGGGACAACATTTCCCGGCGAATAAAACATTTTCCCGATAAATGAGGAAAACCGGAAAAAAACGGAGAAAAACGGGAAAATGTACGAAACGTATCGTTTGTTGGTCAGTCATGGCTAACCGTTGCGTGCAGATATACATTAAATGTCCCCCAATTACCTACTCAACTTTTCACCCACAACAGTGACTGCACCCGTCACCATTATCCCAGGGCAGCTTTGTTTTTCTTCTTCGGAAAACACTTTTTCGGTCAGTAAAAATCAAAATAAAACCGGTCAGAATTTTTCGTATTTTACGTTAGCAGATGCGAATTTTTTTGTTTCTGGGTGTATCTTAGACACGGTTAAAGAACGAAAAACGAATAATATAATACTAACCGTACCGATACTCCGTACAAAATTTTTTTTTTTTGATTGCAACGATTTATCGTTGCTTTCAGTTTACGTATTTAAATTACTCCATACTGTGTACCTTTCAAATTTCTCGCTTACTACAGTGGAAGTATTGATTCGGTTTTTTTTTATTTTTAATTGTATTTCTATGTATTCCGTTAAGTAAATCAAATCAATAAGGGGAGCGGGGGCACAACCTAAACTCATATATAAATATACGATTTTCAACCCCTCCCCTCAGGTTCTATACCTAACTTTGCCACTGAAGTTATGTATTATAAAACGTACGGTTTTAACTCTTCACATAATCCGGTCGCCCATATCATCTACAAACACCCCACCAGATATTATAGGAATATAATATTCACTTTTGTTCGTGTTTTCCTCTTTCCCTCCTTTAGTTGACATTAATTTTTAAACCAGCATCTGACCGATTATCTCTTATCACATGTCCGAATCGCCACATTATATTTTTGTCTTACCAACTACCAAAACGAAACCCATGTATAGATTATAGATTATTTTTAGATTCTCAGTGGAGTAAGAAATGAACTGGTTTTACAAGAATGTT